GCCTATGATAATAGCTTGAACCTTAGTCAGTGTTGGGGTAAATTCGACATTGATGTTTTCAGTTTGCAGGATATTTGCTCGACTGCTTATACTGATTATTTGCATGCATGATTGTGTCGCTAAACCATCAATTAGACTGACAAAGTTTTGGGATATTTACTGAATGAGCAACTGATAGAGAAACATACTGTAATCATCTGTAGTGAATGAAGAAAAACAACACTAGTGATAATTATAAGTCAATTTGCTGACCGATTTTGTTAATAGTTTCATTAATTTTATCAATCATATTACGTGATTGTCAAGTCATGACAATGCTTTATGAAGATATCCTGAAACTATTATGTTTAATTAGTTATAGTGTTGATTGAAGATTGGCCAGTGGAAAAATAGGCATTGTTTTAGGTGATTCAAAATTATCAGAAATTTATAACGTTAAAGAACCCGAGACGCCTAATTTAATTATAAATTTCAATTCAGAAATATTTGTTTAATGTTAATTCTAGTAGGCTACGGAGTTTAGATTTTAAAAGTTTGTTCAACCAACAACTACCTGAGGATTTAGTAATTTTACTAGTGCAGTTGATAGTACCTAACTTTTTAATCTTATTATCTAAATTATGTTTGCATTTTAGACTGCTAATATGATAAACCAATCCATAAATCCAAATACGATTAGCAACAACGACTATGATGGGTTTATTAATAAATGTTAGAGGCGATCCAGATGATTTCTAAATTTAGAAGACATGGAGATATAGTGCAACGCATGTACGGGCCAGGGTAACATGCAGGTTGTTGACGTATATGACGATTTAAAAATAATGAACATGACCAGAAAATAATTTTCAAGCTAAGACTGCTTATATAACTCCAGGCAGGAATATGATACGTTATAAACATTCCATAAGAAGTAACTGCATTTAGCCTAGGGACACTTACAAATATATGGCAAAAGCAACTGGAAAACATATACATGTTAATTACAAAAAATCATTAAGTAAAATAGTTGAACTCGCCTAGATTATTTTTAAAAATTAGATTATTCAGTGGACGACATATATAACGCTATTCGTGGAGTAGAAATGATCCAAAAGTATCCAGAATAAAACATGCAGTATGGCAATTAATTCCAGTGTGTTTGATGCTGTTGGCGTTTTTGCCACTCGCTCGGATGAGAACGATCGAATGAATCCAGATAACTGTTTGTGCCATTGAATGAGCCATCTGAAATGAACTTATGATTGCAGAAAACTTATAGCTGGAACTCACCGCATTTTTTTGGAGAAGTGTCATCCTTGTTGTTTGGCAATGGAACTCGAGAATATGAAATTAGGCAGGCAGTGGTCGGAAGAAAAGATATTACAGGATAGTGCAGTTTAAAACAGCATGAGGTGTTAAGTGAAGGAACACTGAGAATTAGATCCAGTTAACTATTTAGTCCTTGGTCGCATTGTTAGTCAATGTATATTTACGCTATTTACAGGTCATATTTGCTAGAGCTTGATGTTTAAACAAGTCTATGTCGCTGAAGCATGTAAATGCTATTAAAGCTTGTTAACGAACCATCAAAGCTAATTAGTTGATATAGATGATCAACTTTTATTATCGATTGAGCTAGTAAGTTATGTGAACTAATAGATATAACATCACGATAATATATGTGACCATTATTCAAAGGACTATACGAATACTGGGTTAACGAAAATAAAAACCGATTGAGAAGGTTAAGGTGGAAATAACGATTAGCAATAATAGGTTGCGTTTCTTTAGTTGGGCTCGCCAATGTAGAATTAAAGTCTACTATGTTATTAGTACTGCTCTAATAATAGACCTAATCCTAAATCTGTAGACTTGTCATGATATGACTGCCTAATCTATAAGATCTTACGTGGAAGTCACACCATCGACTACACCAACTCACTGTATCGTATCAATTACCAATACATGATGTAGAACAAGGTTAGGCTAGAGAAAGAACAATATATTTAGTATGAATAGAAGATATAAGGTAACATTCAGCAGAGACCACGCCTGCATGGCCGAGCCATGCCGTTCGATCAACTCTAGTCTATTCAATTCATTATTCGCGCCTTCTCCATCCTTAGGTATTTCTTCGCGTTAAATATTGAATACCTATTTTCCGAGTAATCTCGTATTCAGCTTTGAGGATAGTGTGGTTATGGTCCAATGCCACTACAGGTTATCGGTTTCATAAGTAATGCGCATTTCGGTATGAAGCGTCTATAGAAACTTACCAGGCCGTTAAACGTGCGTAATTGCTTGACATTGGTCGGTTCTGAGTAATCCAGAATGGCCGCCACTTCGGTCCTAAGAGGTCGAATGCCTTGAGCATCGATAGTGTGTCCTAGGAAGTCCAACGAGTCGGTCCCAATTTGTCATTTCTGAACGTTTGCAGTAATGCCATGTTTTTGTAATCGTTCGAAAACAAGATCCAGATGCTTGAGATGTGATTCTCTGTCCGGACTTGCGATTAGGCAGTCATCAACATACGCATGTACGAAGTTGAGACCTCGAAGAACGTCGTCTATGAATCTTTGGAATGTTTGAGCAGTGTTTCTTAGACCGAACGGCATTCGCAAACATTCATAGAGTCCGAAGGGAGTAATGATAGCTGTTTTCGGTATGACGTCAGTGGCCATGGAAATTTGGTTATATGCTTTAACCAAGTCGATTTTCGAAAAAACAGTTGTACCTTTCAAGGTAGCTGTCAAATCGTGAATGTGAGGCAACGAGTAACGATCGAGAATGGTTTTTGCATTCAATCGCTGATAGTCACCAGTTGGACGCCAATCGTTGCTGTCCTTTTTAGGGACCATGTGTAACGGAGATGCATTTGGGATATTTGAAGATCGTATGAATCCTAAGTCTCTCATGTGATCGAACTCGTTTTTTGCTAACCTTAGCTTTTCACGGGCCAGTCGTCGTGCTTTAGAGAATACAGGTGGTCCTGTAGTCGTGATGTGATGTGTAACGTTGCTGGTTACACACGGTAATTTCGGTTGCGTTTGATGAATCCCAGGATACTTATCGAGTAGTGGTGGATAAAGTGGGTCTATCGTATGCTTTATTGTGACTGGCGATAATCTGCAACCAGAAAAAGAAGTTACGCAAACGGATAAATTAGCGTTTCCGTCTACTAGCCTCCGTTTGCACGTATCGATGATTAGATTATGGTGTTGTAGAAGGTTCATACCAATGTTATGTCATTTTGAGTCGTGTGAGGCTTTTCTTTGGCTGAAAAAACTTCGGTAGAAGATTTCGTAATTCCTAAGATAAGATCTGCAGATGCAGCCAGTTCGTCTAAAGCGTTGTTCTGAAACGAGACCAGAACCACTTGCACCTGTTGAGGAAGTTAAGACAAAAAAAGTTGTTTGAACAGGCCCTCGTCGAAAGTTCTCAGTCCTATAACCTCTCTCATCTTTTGCAACGTCCGTTGCAGAACCGTGCTGCAGGTCTATGTTATTAAAGAGTTGATCTAACCTTTGTCGATCGGTTAGGTCTCCTCGTTTAAAAATCGAACGTTTCAAGCTTTCGTAAGGTTCGGAAACATCACTAGTAAACATACTAGGTGTCAAGTACCTGTTGAATTCCCGCTGTAGTGCCTTGACTACTGCGAGGAATTGTGCACGTGTGTCGTTCACGCCGTGCTTGTGGAAGTCGGCTTATGCGTAGCAGAACCAGGCTTCGATATTGTCGGGCCAGGAGGACATGAGTCGGAACGAGGGTGGGGACATGGTCTTAATCTTAAATACCTTAGGAGTCGGTTCGGTCATAGGGGAATATTAAGTACGAGAATACGAGGGAAAAATATATAGATATCGTGAGACACGGGGGAAAAATATCAATATGTATAAAAATTAAAAAAATAAGGCAATGATATATAAGAATCCCCGAAAGGAACAGACTCACAGTTGCAATTTGGTGTACCAGATAACGTCGGTCTCACCAATGATGATGGCACAGGTATTCAGTGTTTGACAACGCTTTTACCAGCAACACCTTCTAATATAATTTGTACCCACCGAGAGAAATCAAAAGACAGAGTCGAGGAGATCGGAAGAGTATATTTGACGATTACCAATATATCGGAATTCTCTGATCTAATCTGGCTAGCGATTGCGGTAGATGTTGAGCAGAGCGTTACCACACGTGATCTGGAGCGGATGCATGACCGAGCGACTTCAGCTAGATGAGTCCACTAAAACATGTGGTCAGCATCCAATGTCTAAAACTTACAGAGGTGTTTATTTTGGTTATTTATTTACCGCTACACGCCTATCTATCTATCACACACCATGGGCTGGCCTAATAAGCTGTAGTTGCACTTCATTTTTCCAAATTAATCTAGTTAGTAAATTTTTCAAATAAATTCCCGTAGTTCCATACAGTCTTCAATTATCTGCATCATCTGGATACCATGATAGGCTGATTCATGTTAGGTGTTGCCAAGAGGTGTGACTTCAACGTAGGGTGGAGGGCCATAACATTCCCACCCAATTTGAGCAGGCGGCCACCATCCAGAAAAATCATTTACATTGGCTATCTTTTGTTTTATGTGGTGAAATGCAGCAGTTAGGTTGACTGATACCTCTTTATAATGCGAATAGCCACAGATAGTTCTGATTATATACAAAACAAAATAAGTATCGCACTATCGAATTAAGATTTTACTAGTTTCGGTACAGTAGGTGGGTCTGCTATTTAAGGAGGAAGACGCAACTTTAAAATACACTTGTTATGTGACATTTCCAAATTCGTGTAATTTGTTGATTCATACACATTTGGAGAGTCTAAAATTGTGTAGTGATTCTAATCAACATTAGGTTCCTTTACGGACTTCATGAAACTTTGAATAAACTGTTGTATTGCTACTTTTAAGAAAAAATAATACAAAGCAGCAAGCCAAAATTATTTAAAATGTCATCGAGCAACAGGCTATCCAGATATAATAACACCAGAAAAACATGAGATCCTACACGTGTTAAAATGCTGAATGCATTAAATTTAACACCTCAAGGTCGTTGGAACGAAAGAGCGGAAAGGTCCAAAGACATATTATATTACTTCTGTGCAAAGTCTAATTTAAAACAGTAAATATTAAGTATGACTGAGTCGACTGTTGGCTCAACCGGTAGTCTCTGTGAAACACCGATTCAATGGCCAATGACGAAGGCCTCCTATGAATTTGGGAAGTCTATTGGTTTGTTTTTAGCATTACCTTACAATAAATTCAGGTCAGGGTGCTACTTCCACTGTGTTTGAAGCTCTTTGTCCCTCGAATGGAAAGAAATGTGCTATCAAAATAATAAATCTTGAAAAATGCAGCACGTCCGCATCGTTAGAAGAAATAAACGTAAGCTGTAACTTCAGTTTTATCCATAACTCGATTAGAGAGAAATAAAATCCATGAAGAACATGAAAAACGAGAATATAGTAGCATACTATGCCTCTTTCGTTGCCCAGACAGAACTGTGCATAATCATGGATCTATGTCAAAGAGGTTTGTAAACTTACTTTGCAAACATTTTTATGATTGCTAGTTATTGTAATGATTGGTGGTGTTTACTTTATCCACTTGCAATGATAATAGTAATAATACTTGATCTACTTGACGACATATACAGTAGGTAATTTCCAACGTGATTTTTTCAACTGTGGTGGATACATCTGTCCAATAGCTGTAATATGTTTTTAGATCCTTAAGATGTGCAATTTTTGGTGGGACCATAATTTATGGACGATCTTTGAGCAACGCAAGTCAGGACGTTACTTGACGAGTTGTATGCGAAAAGTAATGGATATATTCGTCTCATAAAATAGATGACTAGTATAACACCAGCAAAATATCGTGCTAGTGGCATCGCTCTTTTAATTTATTATAAGTCATATGGGTCTAACCTTTCTTGTAACATTATGTATCCATATGTCAGATCTTCTGGTTAGACGTGGATAGCTAAAAGGTTAATTTCCTTGTGATAATACTTTTAGATATGTCATATCTTAAAGTAAGAATCCTTTGCACTATTTTTTTCAAGTTTGCTTTGACGCTGATCAGCGGGAGTCGACTGACGATATGGAATATAATAATGAAGTCAGTGAGACTCATAAAGTAGGAGCCATGCAGACCAGATAGAGTGATTTGCAAAACATTAAGAAATATTTGGACTGGTCTTCAACTATACTTCAGCCACACTACTCATTAACAGTCTGAATATAAGACGAACGTCTTCGGGTTTTGAAAAGATTCCAACTTACGTGTAACAGGAGTTTTGGTTTAGGTATATCTAGAGATAATTGTTTATGCTATGGGGCAGTGGATCAGTGGTTAAATCAATTGGGTATCTTCGTAATCCACTGTACATACTCCGACTTGAGCAACTGATTAATATCGTTAGCTGTCGAATAAAGTGTGACTTCAATTTGGGTACATAACATGTACTTGATTAGTATGCTACATGAATCTTAGTTATAATTTAAGGATAACTTGTTATTCCGTATTTTTGCAGTTCATACTAAAACCAGAATCTTCCTATGATAACCATAAGAGAAAGATATTCACTTTTAAATGGTTTTTTATAGTCATTTGACGCTCAACTGGATCTAGAGGAGCCCAAGTAAAGCTTTTATCTGGTTGTGGGTATATCAATCAAGTGATTACTTTATATCAGGTTCTAGAAAACTGATTTCTTTTACCTGTGACTTCGATTGAAATGTATAAATTTTTCATGGACATACATCTAGGGACAATTTTCCGTATTCTCAGAAATTAATGTTTTTCTTTAGACCCCCTCATCACCTTTAAATACACAAACAAGATTGTTTAATGAAAATTTTGATATGATGCGGTATGAGAAACATCTAGAGTGAATATAAAAGATGTCAATATGTCCGTCATCGATGCTTCATAATTCTTCCGAATAATTATTTAGTTTGACAATAAAAATTGTATCATTCAAATAGGTTACATTAATTTTAAGACAAGGGTAGCTGTCAAAGTACCAGCATTTATGTAAAAAGTAGTTTGGATTTTGCCGGACTAAACCATATGTTACGCTAGCAAGATGTCTATGTACAGATATAAATAATACAACTGATTAGGATTACTGTACGTGTACCATAACCCTCCAACATGAAACCGGGCTCCATTTGTAAGTATTTGGTGAAGTGTTTTTGAAGCATTTCTGACTTAATATAAAGTCTCCCAAAGAGTAACGTTAACGCTAGATTCAATGTATTGGTTAATAAATAGGTTGATAAGATTGTTATCCTTCATCAACTGAAATGGCTAGAGCAAATTAAGCGAACTTAGCCACATAGGGGGATTATAGATCAAATAAAAATTATCAGACGTTTAGTTTGACTAAACTACTTTGTCTTAAACTAAATGCTTATAATAACCATAAAATACCAAACTTTCAAATACTCTGATTAGCCTTTTCTCGTGTATACATAGTATATTGTATTAAGGAGGCTTAGAAAAATGTTGGGAGTAAATAAACTATGATATTGTTTAATTCCTATCTCCCTCCAGTATGATTGAACGATATTGATGCTAGTGAAATATATACCCTGTTTACTTTGTATATATTTTATCGACTGATCTCTCTAATAATAACGTAGATATAAAAAACGAAATTCGATAGTGTTTGAAGGAAAATATTTCAGATATTCGGAAGCGCAGATGAACGATAAGGGACACAACTAAATACATGTGAACTTTAGTGGTCGAAATAGTCAACTCATTGAATGATGGGTGACTCTGTACTTACAAGCATGAAAGTGATTTACGCAAGTAGGTAGACACATACGTACCACCATGCACACATCCTCAAGGTCACATTTATAAGTGACAGAATGACTAGAAATGTTAAGATAATTCATCCGTCCTATGGTTATTCTTTTGGAATAAATCACGTAGGCGTGTAACAAAACTAATTGCCACAATGGTACCAGTTTATAAAATCACTGACTTAAGTGGTGTGGGAATGGTTAGTCTTTATGATCAGAGTTCTGAATATATTAAAAATTAGTGACTGGACTTCTTTCAAGGTAATGAAATCAGTGTATCTATTCCTTATCTTCTAGATCTCCGTTCACTTCTATTCTTTTCCGTTTCTTCCATTCTTCCATCTCTCCCGACTTTCCATTTTTATACTCCTGTCACATATGACAGCTAGATTTATTGCATTTTTCTGTGTTTATTTATGTTCGTGCCTGTTGTATACTTGTGCCTACATCACCTCTTCTACATTATCGTTAATCACTTAAGATATGATCGCATTAAATGTTAATTTATTATTCCACCTAGATAATAACTTCACTAAAGACCTTTCGTAAAAAATCATTTAGAACTTAATTTTAGTGTATGTGTATTAGTCTTCTAAAACCGAGCCAAAGATGATTTGCATATAATTATCCCTTATCTGTCGTTCGAGTTCAGTTGTGTTCGTTATTATGTAGAATTCAATGAATTAAAAATTATAATTTGACATTTAATTTATTCACTATTTCCATCGATCAACATGAGTAGTTGGTAAGTGTTACATTTAACACCGGTAATCTGCACTAATTTATACCAAACGTTTCAATCAATCAATATAAGCTTATCGTAGTAAAAAGGTTAAAGCGTTCAGCTCTCACCCACTACGCCACAGTTTCAAAAATCATTCTACTTGCTTCAGTTTGTGGAAACCACCAAAATCACTGGCTATTACACTCAGTGCCGACAGACTGGAAAGAAGGATAACTCATCAAAATACCAAAGAAAGGAGTTCTGAACAAGTGTAGAAACTACAGAAGCATCACACTAGTATCGGTACCACAAAAAGTCCTCAACAGAGTATTGTCGGACTGGATGAAAGATTCAATAGGCGCTCACCTTCGAGATCAACAGACAGGATTCCGTAAGGATCGATCGTGCACAGACCAAATCGCCACACTATAGATCATCTTTGAACAACCAATTGAATGGAATTCGTCACTATACATCAACTTCCTTTGATTATAAGAAGGCGCTTGACATCATCAAAAGGAGTACATTATGGAACCTTATTCGGAACTCACTAGTGGGTAGCTGCGATAATCGTCAATATCAGACAGAATTCACATGACAGACTACACTGCAAAGCCATGCATGGAGGACAGTTGACAGATGCATTCCAAGTAAGGACTGGAGTCACACAAGGCCGCTTACTCTGCCTCTCTATCTATCTCGTTTTTCTCTTTCTTCCGATGGTTGACTGGAATATGTATATCTGCACATCTCAGCTAGAGCACGGAATACAATGGAAAGCTTGCATGCAAATAGACGATTCGAACTTCGCAGATGAACTGACCCTTCTACCTATACACACGAGCAAACGCAAGTCAACACAATCACTGTAGCAGCAGCCTCTACATCAGTAGGCCTGAATATACACACAAGGGAAAAATCGACATCCTCAAATACAAAACAGAAAACATCAACTCAATCATACTTGATGGAGAAACTCTGGAAGAGGTGGAAACTTTCACGTACCTACTCGGACAGCATCACCGATGAACAAGGATGATCTGATGCAGACGTAAAGTCAAGGATTGGCAAAGTAAGGGTAGCATCCCTACTATTCAAGAACATACGGAACTCAAAACAACTATCAACCAACATCAAAGTAACAATCTTCAATATGAGAGTCAAGTCAGTTAGTTCTACTATACGGGGTTGAAACTTGGAGAACTACTACAACTATCATCAAAAAAGTAAAGTTTTTCTAAACAATTGTTTACACAAGATACTCAATGTCAGTTCACCGGATACTATCAATAACAGTCTGCTGTGGAAACGAACAAATCAACTCCCAGTTGAGGAGAAAATTACCAAACGTCGATGGAAGTGGGTAGGATACACAATAAGGAGATGATCAAACTGCATTACGAAGCAAGCCCTAACATGGAATCCTGAAGGGAAATGGAAAAGAAGAAGGCCGAAGAACATACTCCACTGGAAATTGGAAGCAGACATAAATAGGATGGATACCGACTAGAAAGGATTGCTCAGGACAGAGTTGGATGGAGAATGATGGTGAAAGGCGTATGATCTTCCATGAGGGGTAACAGGCGTAAGGAAGTAATCGCGCTTAGTGTATGTTATGGCAGCTTGAACCGATGTACATATATCCCAGGTTCTACGTTGCGTTTGAGAGGCTGTGTTTTTTGAGATTAAGTACACTAGTCTGTACACCTGGTAAATAAGCAATAATAATAATCTTAGTGCAGGAACACTTACTAGATAAATACAATCAAAGTAATTGTGTATTATCAGCCACCATTGATGTGGGGATTTTGTGGGGTACACCCATTTTGGGCGCCCTTAATAATCTGTTTACGGTCTTAAATATATCCCTTTCGTTGAGTAAGATTGTCTGTCTGTCGACCTTTTCTGTTAATTTTGTGTTTGTTAATCGGTTCGATAAACGTTTCCTGATGAAGTCTGGGTAGCGATTTTCTCAAGAATGTAGTCTTTCGCCAGATTTGATTTGATGGTAGGTAATAAAGCTGTTGCGTTGGAAGATATTATCGCTTCGACTTTGGTGATTTTAATACCTTGAATGTCAGATAAAAACTGTTTTCGAGTGTCGTTAGTGTAATTATATGAGTTCATCATACTTCAATATATCTGATGTTTCTTTTAAAATACTGACTGTATATGTGGTCTTTAAATCAAAATAATAATTTTCTCTATAGGATCATTGTTGGATGTTATCAAGTATACACAAAATAAACGAGATATTACTTACGGTGTATTTGATGAAAATACAATTGCTACCATTCTTCGTGATGTTCTACGTGGATTGGCGTATATTCATGAAAATGGTTTAGTTCATCGGTGAGCATTTCTAATTAATATTAATCTACCAGCTATCATTCGATCTTATTCTTAAGTAAGAAATGACAAGTGACTATAATAGTAATTGTAATATGTAAAAAAATATTACAATAACTTCTTTTCTCACATAAAGTCATAGTTTCCTCCGAAAAATAATTTATTCATATATATATGTTTTGCTCAGTCAACTGCTTTGTACTTTTTTTCGGTTGAATATTGACTTTTCTATTGTTATCTATTTTACATTATAAATGATTTCAATAAATTCTATCTGAATTTTAAGTTTCATGATCTCACAATTCATGAAAAGTGTACTGGGCTATATTGTAATGATACTTGAGTAAAAAAGTATCTAACCAGTAGTGTGTCTCAAGTTCGAACCTCACTCACCCTACTTTGGTTCAGGGAGCCGGTTTGAGTATCACTAGTCCTCACAAACAGTCTATTTTAAAACAATACTTAAACCTGTATACTTGGTAAATGAGTGACACTACTCCATAGAGTTATTGACCGTTGATCTAGGCCATATTGGTAGATGCAGCCTACTTGCTTCGAGTTCACATAATAACCACGATCAGCGATGGTGACGTTTTATTTATTATATATTTAAACACATAAACTTAGGTACAAGAAGTCACCAAATAGATATACGCCACATAAATCATTCGATTTGTGTGAGGGCTACGATACTGCCCGGGTGCCCAAACCGAAGCAGGTGGTTTTTTAGGGAGCCACACTCCGAACCTTTGACCTAAAGGTCTAATCTACAAGGCAGTGAAGCAACGTCAGGAAACGCAGTCCCATGGTTGCCAGTGTCCAATGATTGGTTCATACTTTATTTGTTCTCTCAGGATCCTGGAGCCCATGTGCACGATTGGTTGAGAATCAGGGTTTTCCAACTCCCTTAGGTGGATCCTCTATGTGTGACATCGAACAGAAATCGCTAGATTGTAAATATCTCCCTTTTTAGGAAGTCTTACGGTAGATAGAACATGAAATCGTGTCTTGTTATCGTCAAATTCAGGAAATTCTCTGTTTTTTTGTACTTCACTCTCTTATGCAAATTTTTTAATTTAAATGAGGCTAATTGAAACGTCTAGATATTTGGTCACTGTGATCTCTTTCATCTTATACTATGAAAGTATCAAATACAATAATGTTTGCTTTTATTTATATCTTGTAGTCTAGCGTTTTCTAGTTGTGCTTGAAAAATATCATCGAATATAAGACTGACCTGTTTATCAATGGTTTCTTTTTCACTAAATTGGGACTGAACATTTTTTTTATGCATGACAGTAATCATTCTTTTCGTTTCTTTTTTTTTTTTGTTGTTGTTGTTGAGAAATCAATCCTATTAGCATGATTCCATAGGATATTCATAGTTTCTTCTAGTGGGACTTTGGAAAATAAAGATTTGCTATCAAAACAAATCATATACTTTCTGTTTAGATGAATACTATTAATTCTATTAACGTTACTAAAACTAACTTCTGAACTATATGCGCTTGTATAAGATTTAAAACACACGAAAACGAATTGAATTCACATACTTCGCTATGTTCATTGTTTTTGTTTTACAGTACATAGTTTGTTGCTAAACGCTACATCGTCAGTTGAATGTTTTTATTTAAAAAAAATCAATATTTGAATAAGAAAAAGAGAATTCAGCGAAGAAAATGTTCTTTTCAACGAATTCTCTTTTTCTTAAAATCAGTATTTATATGACTGAAACTCTATGCTTAAACTATGTCAATAGGATAGTCAATTAAAATGATTAGTTTATTGATATGGAAAACAAATTAATTCTAGATTCCTATTATACTTAACCAACTAATTTCTTCTTTCATTGATTCTATTGTTAAATCCAATAAATGGCAATCAATAGCTTATGAACCCATCTCTTGTTATATAGTTTTAGTGAACTTCATTATTTATATGCTATTCAGTGAATATTTTCAAGATTTTCATTTGACAGTTTATGAGAAACGTTAACTGTAACATCAATCTACGTATTCTTACATTTCTATGTTACACCTTACAGAAACATTTGAATGACGGATACCCTCGGGATAGGTTAAAAGAAGATTAGAGGTGTCGAAGTCTGTCTGTTAGTCGTTTGCAACGTGAAATGTGGTATGTGTATACATCAATTCAAGTTGTCATACCCCATTAGCATAGCGAGAGTAAATTGTTAGGGGAAATCTCATAATAGTCGAGGTAATAATAGTATCAATGTTAATAGGAAAGATTAAGTATCCAAGATACAATCCAAGAAAATATAAATTAATGAAATAGAGAGGATTGAGCATAAAATTTGGAAGAAAATGAAGAGTGGATGCACCTGCGCCATTGCAAACGATTTTCAGCCATGTCATTCAAAGTCATCAACCACTGGTTATGGTAATCACGCGAACCCCAACCAGGTAGTCTACATTTGTTGACTTGGCTCAGTTCATTTTTGAGTGACTTCATGAACTGATGGCTAGAAGTATCTAAATCCGAGACATGCTACCAGTAGTGCATGATATCATTGGTTGGTGATTAGGATCATGTCGAGTGATGCAGGATTCTTGGTTAGTTAAAATGTTAGGTTATCTACCACCAACTATTGGTCATAGTAATGTAGCTGCATTCATTAACACCTTGTAAACATTAAGCATAATGTCACTTCTCATACCATATGATCTCATTCGTCTTTCTAAAAACATTATTTCCAGTTGCACAGTTTACATTGAGGATTGGCCTTAGTTAGACAACTACTGAAAATCAGGAAGCATTGGACAACTGTTTTGTCCTATCACGGGACTGTTTACCAGTGTACATATACGATTCTATTGAAGACCGAGCACAGGACATTCATATCTCGTTGCACAATACCCCTAATCGATCGAAGTTAGAAATGTAAACCGTTGGATGATCCACCCGAAACCTGAATGTTCTAGGTTCAATCCAGGATCTTGTCATGGATGTGCACTACTGAAGAGTCTCGTAGCAGTAGGAAACACCTATCCTGTGCTTCTGATTTTTTAGTAGTTCAACTAAATTCATTCCCCAATATAAATTATAAAATTCAACAATCTCTACAACTCTTCCCCATACTGATAATATTTCAAATGTTATAATATAAACGTTTTTGACAGCTTTTTTTTGCATATGAACACATTGATTATTAACTTGCTTCAGTTGTTCGTATGCACAAATGATCAGGTTACATTTTTCATAGCTGGTTAATGTCAACTGAACTCAATCGTTTACTGGTATTAATTCTTTAAGGTCTGACTAAGATCCATACTTCTAATAGCAATCAAGATCACTGTATTCATAATCAACCTCCCTCTTCGATTTCTATAATTAAAATCCATGTACATTATAGTAGATGACTTGATAAAACATCTCTGTTTTTCTTGTTTTTGTTTTGTAAAGAATGTCAACTTTATTACAAGGTGAAATTATTCTTTTTCTCAATCAGTCAGTCAGTAACAACGTAGAACTACGTACGTACGTACATCGGTTCGAGTTGCCATAGGACATTAGCACAAAGAGATTCCTTTTCATAAGTTTTTACTCATTCGATTAAATATCATAATCTGCCATAAATGTGTATAAGTTAACTTATTCCTTTTTTATTCTATATACCTATTTCACCAAAATATCGTTACTTTTAAATACAGCGATCTAAAATGTGGTAATTTATTGGTCAAAGATGATGGAATCATTCAAATAGCAGATTTTGGAGTTGCTGGATTTTTAGCTACTCAACCGCTTACTGCGACTGGTAGTGTTGATCTAAGACGGTATACATTTGTTGGTACACCTTGTTGGATGGCTCCGGAAGTTATGCAACAAGTACGAATAATGATTATTACTTTCTCTCTCTCTCTCTCTCTCTCTCCTTAATAACATTTAATTTACAATTATTGATTGCTATATATGTGAATTTTAATTTGGTCATTTCAAGTTTTTATTACATAAAACTGTGTTGTCAGCATCGAATCATTATGAAATGTAAATAGGTGCCTTTTTTACCTTTAAAAAAGTATTAAACTGAACTCCAACATCATAAAATATGAGCAGTAGCTTTAGAGAGAAAAGATTTTTCTCATAGCCTACATCTCAACACCTCATATTCATCTACGTATCTAATTATCAGTATACGGATTGTGGAGATTATTAAGTTTTTGATTAAGATCATGAACCGATTGATTTTAGACCACCGTTGAAAACCTGGAAGCACTGGACGGCCATTTCGTCTTATTGTGGGACTTCTCAGCAGTGCGCCTCCAGGATCACCCTCACGGGATTCGGACCCAGGGCCTTTAGTCTCACGCGCAAGTGCTTAATCTACTGGACCACTGAGCCGGCATCTAATTATTGAATCAAAATATTTTTTTATTGATTTCTTGTTGAAACTGCGCACCATCGTTCTCTGATTCTCGCTCTTTCTAATTATAACCAACTAAATTCCTAAACAAAGCAAAAATGAAAAGAAATTTCAAAATACAATGAATTCATTGTATTTCATTATCTTCTTTCCAGTTACATATACATGCTAATATGTTTCATTATTTCCTATGATTAAAATGATATTCAACCAACAACAATAGAAAAATGAATTATCAATAATGAATAGGTTATGTGGAATGTAAACCATCTTGAAAATCCGAGTTTTTAACACTTTTTTCCTTTAGAAAATAACTGTTTAGAATGATAGTTCTAGAATATTTACCATAATATTATTACATAATATGATCAATTTACTTTAATAAGTATGGAATGAAAGTGAAGATATATGAGTTTCATCTGCTACAATCCGATTATAGTTTATTTAAAAAAAGAAGAAAAAGGGGTCGAGATGTTTAATTAACTCTTGTGTACCAAAGAAGTTGCTCTTTTGAAACACAGAGGTCAGAATTCACCTTTCTGATTGCTACGGTCTCTACAAATAAGATAAAAATAGACTATTTATTGATTATTTTGAACGCGTTTGGTGTTAACGTTATCGCATGTATCTAGCAGGTGTTGTACTGTGGTGTGTGCTACTTATATTGACGTAAGTAGTAGATGATGTTAGTCGTGAACAGAAAGTCTGTCAACAGAGAGACAAGAGGATCGAACAGTAAAGAATGGAAACAGGATGCAATTTGTATGAAAATGCAAGAACAATGAAGTCTGAGTCATTTTGAGACAATCGGTGGACATTTTACAAATTAAGCATTTACTTTATGATTGTTAGATTTTATTAACAGGTTCTGTAAGTTTGTGTTTAATACATCCGATTGTCATCACTGGTGTTCTTGTTCACTACAGTACTATTGAAATACGAGGCCCGTTCTTACCTGGAAGACTTAAGTTCCTAGGAATACGTTTAGCAAAGAAATTTGGGACCAGTCTTTATTTTTTTCCGATGTACATTCTTTTGTGGATGTATGTAATTTGATGTACGCAATAGTAGATGAATTATTGTGGTTACCTGTCTACTTTTATTTGTATTACTGAGACTAGTGTATGCAGTGAGCCAATTTAGCAGGCGACAATATGCATTTTAAGACTTCTTAGTTTTTGGTTAATTTTATTCTTAATTTGATCCCCTTTAAATGACATTTTTATAAAAACTTGTTTCTTTTCGGGTTTGTACACTTCCATCTTATCTTGGTATTCGGTAATACACTTCTTTTAAGTTGATTCAAGACATCAGTTTTCACACTGATAATATTTTATTTCCATATATTCTCCCTCAAGTTTTTCTTGTGAAGAAAATTTTCTGGCTCTGTGGTAGAGCGTTTTCACCAACTCGTATTTGTAGCTTATAGGCCAAAAGATGTGAAAATTTAGGTATTTGCCACTCCAGATTTTTTTTCGATATATATACCCTTATTAGGTCCTATAATTTCTTCAAGAGATGTTCCATTGCAAATTTAATATTGGGGTAGACTTTATCGAAGTTTTCTCATATTTGATTTGCCTAATTCATATTGCTACACAGAGCAAAATTATGTTCAGCGTATCTTACATAAGGTTCAGTTTCATTGATAACTGACAGTAATATTTTCTTCCCCAAGTTGCTACAAATATATCTACAAGCATTGGGGCTAAAGAACTTCCTATAGTATAATTTATTGTTACATTGTGCACAATCTGAGCAGTTGCTTGAGTTATATTTATGACATGAATATACAGACGTTGCAAGTATTGACTAATTATGTTAATTGTTTCTTTCAAGGGGATTAATGGTGAACAGTGAGACTATATCATATGAAACTATAAGTTTATTTGATACATCTATTTGTTCTATTACTCCTGCTAAACCAAAAATGTCCTTCATAATGTATAAAGCTAACTCAACGAAGTAGTTCTAGATTATTTGTTAACTTATAATTATCTTTTGTAAATAGATTCTAAACAAACCACAAAATAAACTAGAATCCGTTTAAAGAGCTACTACACACACGATATTCCTTTAAACAAGATCATATTCGAGGACTTTTGGGTGTTTCGATGAGTAAAATTCTGTATATTCCTTAAGTTTTCGAATCTAAATAACTCAAACGTAGGAGCTTCGACCCATTCATGATTTAACACAAATAATCTACTACCGTCGATGGATAAGAACTATATTACTGTTGAGTTGGTTAACTGCATAAAAATTATGGTTTCTTACTCTCGTACGTCGGAATTATTTTACAGGAAGAAAGTTATTATTTAGGCACTGGATTAGTTAGATGACTTGGCGATTGGTTTTATCATCCATTGACATCAGTTGAAGTACGATTGATGTGTTAATTCTGAACAATGCTCACCTTTGACTACTTCATCACGGGTCGAATACGCACAACGAACAATTGACTTTTATATTACGTAATTGGAATCTGATGATTAGTATTTTCAACTTCAATGAATTTGTAAAATAGCATGACGATCATTCCATCCATTATTTGATGAATAACTCAATCTCAATATAAGTGAACTTCATCCGTGATAGCCCCTCTCATTTGAACCTTGATAACTTATTTCATATCAAGATAGTTTTTAATTGTACCGCTGTTTATTTTGGGACCCATAAAACGAACTTATACATGTTACATAAATGTTAAATTGTCTATTTCTCCTGATTATAATTTCAATTCAATAAAATGATGTAATTTGATTATTTCCAGGCTCGTGGTTACAATCAAAAAGCAGATATATGGTCATTAGGTATTACAACTATTGAAATGGCAACTGGTCAAGCTCCTTATGCAAAATTTGCACCAATGAAGGTAATTTTTATCGAGGTTCCTTGTATCATAATTTTATAATTTATTTATTATGTAATTCTTATTAATCTAAAAAAAGTATCAGGTTGTACCCTTATAAATCCATAATTATTTTATTACAATGCCCAAAATAAAGCATACATACTAATAAATAAATTAAACAATGTTAAAATTATTATGTTTTGTATTAGTTAAGATATCAACTGCATCAAAAATATGTCAATTGTAAATTTAAAACATCATTTTGGGAAAGGTAGGAAATTTCATTCATTGTACTATGTCTAGTTGTAATTAATGTATTAGTAAGTTAGGGGCGGCCAAACCAAAACGTGGTATCAGTCCTTGAAGTCACTAACTTCTAATCGTATCCATGTTGGCGGAACAAGCACTATTAGAGTGGATCCCCGTTAACAGTTGTTTATGTGCTGTTCGGCTAAACGGCTCCGTAAGAACTCGGAAGGATAGGAACACACGTCGTTGCCCTTTTGTCGTTTCTGCCTACGCTCCCACCGACTGCAGCTCAGATGAAGTGAAAGATGAATTTTACAGAAAGCTATCTGAATTTCTTCAGACAGCTAAACGTTCAGACATAGTACTCGTATCAGGTAACTTTAATACCCAGATAGGTAGCTTAAACCAAACAGAAAGAGTATTTTAGTATTCCGGCACAATGAACAGATAATGGTGATCGTCTGCTGCAACTGTGCTCAGACAATCGTTTACTTTTAGCAAACACAAATTTTAAGCATAAGGAGAGACTTCGTCTAATATGGCAACCCCCTACACCAAACCAACGATGGACTCAAATTGACCATATCGCTATCAGTCAGGCTGACCCAGATGTTGTTCGGAAAGATATGCAAACAGCTGTAGAAATAGCAGTGACATCTATTAGTGATTTAAACCACAGGGTTACAAAGAACCAATGGATTTCTACTAAGTCTATTGCACTGATGGATTCTCGTAAACTCATCCCATCAGGCTCTGAACACGATGAAGAGCGACAACAAATCAGTTCTAGGTTAAGCAAAAGTCTAAGGAACGACCGTGAGCAGTGGTGGGCAACGAAAGCAAAAGAGATGGAAAAGGCGGCTACAGGGAACACAAGACAGCTCTACAGACTAATAAAAGAAACTGGAATTAATAAGTCAAGTGTAAGTCAGACTGTTTCAGAAAAAGACGTCACTCTCATCTGCTCCCAGTCCAGACGTTTAAAACGATGGGCGGAACATTTCAGAGAATAATTCAACTGGCCTTCAGCTACTCTACAACTACCCTCCATTCCCAAACAGTCTGAATGGAACATTGAAGTAGGTCACCCAACTCTAGCAGAAGTTCGAAAGGCTATAGTTAATCTGAAACGAGGAAGGTCAGCTGGTCCAGATGGATTGGCTCCAGAAGTCTTTAAGGATGGTGGTCCAATTTTAGCGATTAGGTTGACTAATATTTTAGCTTAAATATTGGAGTTGGACGTTGTCCCATCCGACTGGTCACAATTACTTATCTTCCCAATATATAAGAGAGGGTCAAAATCATCCTGTGACAACCACAGAGGGATTAGTTTAACTAATATAATATCTAAAATACTAGCCTCGATAATTATCAGACGCCTAACTAAGACTCGTGAACTGCAAACACGAGAAAACCAAGCTGGCTTCAGACCTGGTCGTGGCTGCATCGACCACATATTCACCATTCGTCAGGTTCTAGAACACAGGCATACTTATCGGCGTCCGACAATGGTGGTCTTTCTTGACTTAAAAGCAGCATTTGACTCGGTAGACCGCGAGATTCTGTGGCAGTGTCTGTCATTGAAAGGCGTACCCCAGAAGTACATAAACCTTGTAAAGGCTCTTTACTCGAACACTACTAGTCGAGTGAGAGCTTATGGCGAACTGTCATCTAGTTTTGCAACCTCAAGTGGTGTCCGTCAAGGATGTCCACTTTCCCCATTTTTGTTTAACTTCATCATAGACCTATTGATGGAAATAACATTCTCGTCGACTGAATTCTCGGGCATTGATCTCCTTCCAGGAGGTCCACTTATCGACTTAGGAAACTCAGATGATATAGTCCTGTTTGGTGAAGACGCTGATAAAATGCAGTCTTTTGGTAGCACTAAGCAACTGCCAGAATGTTTGGAATGCACTTCTCTCCCTCTAAATGCGAGTTGTTGCTTCAGGACTGGTCTGCGTCAACACCTGAACTAAGTAGCCGAACGCGTTGACAACTTCATTTATCTTGGAAGTCTGATCAGCCCTAATGGGTTGGTGTCTGACGAAATCTCAGCACGGATTCGAAAAGCTCGTTTGGCTTTTGCCAACTTACGTCACCTATGGCAAAGGCGAGATATCCGTTTATCAATAAAAGGATGAGTATACTGCGTGGCATTTCGTTCTGTTCTGCTTCACGGCTGTGAAACGTGGCCATCAGGGGTAGAGGATACGCGTAAGTTACTAGTATTTGATCACAGAGGTCTCAGAAATATTGCTCGCATCTGCTGGGATCACCGGCTAAGTAATAGTGAGATCAGATACAGGGTATTAGGGAATGATGGTAAATTAGTTTATGAGATTGTGAATCTTCATCGACTGAGATGTTTGGGCCACGTGTGACATATGCCTGAACACTGATTACCACGACGTGCAATGCTAACCGGTGTTGGAAATGGTTGGAAGAAAGTTAGGGGCGGCCATACCAAGACGTGATATCAGTCCTTGAAGTCACTAACTTCTGATCTGTGCCATGTTGGTAGATGCCTGATACCTTATAAAAAACACAAACATATTGTACGTTAGGTCTTGAAATAAAATCCCTAATGAAAATCATACTCTGATAAACAAAATTCGTAAAATGAACGAAAAACTGTGGAAGGTTGTGTGCGACACACTTAGCAAACATTCAAAAGGTTAGCGATAACAGCCTTCCATTTACGTTAACAACTGGTGATCCCTAAAATGTAGTGATCATCAACCCTTTATTACTATTTCCCCATATTGCGTAATGATCGATTCCTCAAGTATGTGCCAAAAATACTACAAACTAATCAGTGAAGTAGCTAAAGTGTCAAATATTTTCATCTTGTACAATGTTTATATAATTTAAAAATGAGCTGTATATTTAAAACTTCATTAAAAAAATCAGTTCCTCTAAGGAGAATAGTTGAATAAAATCTGTAAGCTTATGATTAAAAGTAACTCACCGAGTACATATATTTATATACTCGACTTTGGACCACTCTATATCTACGAGATGGATATTGACACTACTGTGCTTCCTGGAGTCTACAGTGGGATCCCGATCTACGATCGTCTTCTGGTGGCTGAGAACGGGTTTTGTAGCCAAGAGAGTTATCCACCCTCAATATGCTTATAGAAAACTGTACCATATGTTTATGAAAGTATAACTGCAGAGTAGAATATTTTTTTGAAAAACTAGGAAGTTTTATTTGATACTTCATACTCTCATATAAACCCTCTGTCGAATCAAGAATATATTTCATCACTGTGTAAATCAAGACCTGTATATTATTGATGATTTTACTGTCCAGAAAAAGCAATGACAGCTTTACCATCATTCAAATTAATGACGGTTAACAGCCAGTCAGTCATAGACATCAGATAATCTGGGACATATTTGCATCAGTCCAAGTTATCATATCATATCACGATACCAATATGAAATTATCAAAACTAATATTAGAGTGGTAAACGTAGTAACATAGTCAGTGACACTATCAAACATTACGCTTAGGAGAATATAATTCAAGTACTAGGTGTATGTATTTGTCCAAGATTAAGAGACAATATACACCTGATTTATTTCAATTAATGAATGTAACACATCAAACAAATTTTATTTTAACTATTGATCATTCACTTTTATCTTTTCTCTCACCCTCAATCCTCATTCCTGTAATACATTTCAATAAAAGGTATTAATGCTTACATTACAAAATGATTCACCGGATATTGACAGTGTTGCAACAGTTAACAATCAATATTTAAATTATGGACACAAATTTCGTAAATTCACTAAAGCTTGCCTTATGAAAGATCCAGGTCAACGTTTATCCGCTCGTGAATTACTTAGCCATACTTATATCAAATCAAAAGCGAAGGTAATCTATGCTGAAATGACCTTGTTAAATTTTTATAAATCATTATAATTACTATTATACTAAATTTATATTTAGTTCGTTCATACCTATTATTCCCGTTTTAGAAACATGTTCTATTTTGAATCGTTTTGAATAATTTTCAACTGTTTTAAAAACTCGATAAACAATTATTTAAAGATATTGTAAATATTCTGGTTCTACGATATATATATATAACCCTTGTTACCCCTCGTGGAGCACAGGCCGCCAACCAGGATTCTACAACTAACTCTGTCTTCCTCTCTCCTTTCCAGTTGTTGCCAAGCGTTATTCATTCTTTTGATACCTGGCTCCAATTCTTAGTTCATTGTATTCTTTATTCTGGCTATTCTCTTTTTACTTTGAGGATTCAAAGTTAAGGCTTGCCTTATGTTGAAGTTTAGTGATTTCGACAACATTTGTTTTATCCGCCTTCAGCTTCTTTTATAGATTTCCTCTTCGGCTGGTTATATATTATTTTATATGCTCCGATAATCAATGAGAGCTGGTGCCAATTACTTGATATTACCCCATTACAAGAATCGGAATGGTACTAAGTTTCAGAATGTCGCCATAGTAGTTGTTATTGTGTCAGCAACGCTAACATTTCACAATAATACTTATTTTTGGTCAGCCGTAAGCTCTATATATCGACAAGTTTCCCTGATTCACTCTCATTACAGAATATAAAAATGTGTGGCTTCAATTCATTGTTCTGCGATTGTTGTCAGTTTCCATGTTTGGTGATTGGAAGCAGTCGACAGTAAGCCATAGACTTAGGTTTCATGCTGGTCAACATTTGTCCTTAATTTGTAACTGCAGTCTTGAGGAGACTGATGCTCCCTGTTAGATTAGAACCATGTCTCACTGTCTACAAAAAGTTTCCTATTTTTGGGCTACAATGTCGAGTCACTCAGACTAGTTGCCATATTGCAACTTTATTGACATGATTCGATCAGTATTAAAAACAACTAGACAAATATGACACTGGTCACTGTTCAGTGACTAATCTATGTCATCAGTTTCCCATGTAAATTATCATTGTTTAATGCAAGTGATGTGAGTTTGTATTCGTCGGGTACACTTCTACATGTGTTTCTTATCTATCGCTCTGCTTATCAAGTGTATATTTCTTGAAAAAACCTTTTTCCATACTTTAAATTATAAACAACTTTGGGTTATATGTAGGTATAGGATTATTTATAGATGTAGGCTTCTATAAAAGGTTTCCAGCATTCACACTTCAAATAATCCATTAATAACATTTATGTTTATACTCAATTGTTTTTAATATTATTACTATTAAAGGATCGAGAATTACTTTGTCGAGTTTTGCTTGGTGGTGAAATGCCACCTCCTATTTCTCGTGTCAATAAACACCCAGATGATCGATCAGAAAAGCGTGATCCTAAGGTACGTGTACTTGTGTTTGTATGTCAAACTATTATTCTTACTTTTACTGACTAACGAGTATTTTATATCATACCAAATGAACTGTAACTAGCAGTATAATCCAAGACCCACATTTCCTTCTACTGAGGACACATCTGCTGAGTCCAGTTAGCCACTAACTTGTTCAACAGTTATGTTGTTTCATCACTACTAGAAAGGGTTTGAACTATCTCGCCGTTATTATTAAAACCTTTACTAGTAATGATGTAAATATCATATTTGTTAACCATGTTAGTGGCTATCTAGACTTAGTAGTTCAGCGGATATTGTATTCTTTGTAAAAATAAACAGTCTTCCTGGTCTACACTGCCATCTACAGTTTGTCTAAACCTTACCATTAATGATATATTTTATAACAGTTTACTACGAAAAAGATTATGTTTCTTTACACTGATATCTTGTTGCTGTTCTTGCCGACACTATGGTACACGTCTACCATCCCGCTTATAAACTTTATAAGTGTTTCACTGTAGTAATCCGATTTGTAGTGGTAAAGTAAAATTTTTGCGACCTTATTTAATTTCTTTATTAAATAAATATTAGTTTTATCTTTTTATGACAATTTTAAATGCTTATTATATGTCTAACAACATTTCTTCTCAAGAATAACAGTACAGAATGGAATTTCGATACAGTGGGACGTGTATCTAATAGTGGTGTTGACAGTGATGATGATAGTGATGAGAATGACTATAAGGTTACTTCATATACTGATCGTTCTGGCAGTATACCACAACCTTGTAATTCATCTAGTGGATTTGATTTTCCATCAGAGTTATTAACTCAAACAAATGCAACTGCTGTAATCGGTTCATCTGCGTCTAATCAAGTAAATAACGCACTTGCAACGGGAGCAGCGATGGCTGTGCCAACAGCACTACCAGTTGTTGATGAAACTGTTGGTGGTATTAGTCCACGAAGTAATATACCACATTTAGATAGAACAGACAATTATAATATTGCGGTGTCTGGGTCATCATCATCGTCATTTCCACCTGCTCCAGCGTGTACACCTGCCTCTCCGGAGACATCTAATTCGATTAGTGCTATGGCAGCGGCGTTCTCGAGCACTTTGACAACTGAGGATCCTGATAATCAACAACAACAGCCTCAAACAAATGATCCTGTAAGTTGTTGTCGTTCCTCATGGTCGTTTCAACTTGATTTTTGCATTATTAATATTTGTGTTAATTTATTTGAAAAGTTTCAACTGGAATAATATTAAGATTTATAGTATTAGGTGGTTTGAGGTAGTCGACAAGAAACCGTACATAACCCTGATGTCGTACAACTTGATACTCAATAATAAAGCATATCTGAGTTTCATGTTCAAACCCCATATCCAACCTACTTTTAGCTTAACTAACTGGTTGATATCATTAGTCATTATATATAAGTAGTACCTGATTCATTCTATAGGAAATAAAATCACTTCTTGCTATGATGTTATCTTTCACTCTCCTTCAATCTGTACATGTATTGTACAACTTATCAGCACATTTAATATTTGTTGATGTGCATAGTGCCAATATATTAACAACTGATGATCATATCATTTGTTCTTTATTCATCTCTTGTTTTGTATGCCCAGTATTTACTGTCTTCTTTATAGAACACACAATTTTGGCATAATTTTGAAAAAAAAGCTATCGAAACACATGAATCCTTATTATTATTATCCCAGCAGAAGAAGTACCGACTATGTAAATCGAGTATCTTCAATCATTTGTTAAAGTTTTATCATCCAGTTGCGATAAGTTTTTTTTTTAAATATGAAAGCGGTCGAAAAAAATGTTTTAATAACAGACTTTGTAAACTGATGGGGTTCAGCCATGTTTTGTTAGTGAGATGTTGGATAATATACTTGCTCTGTCATGAATTAATTTTCGTTGGGACTGTGAATTACCATTCGGTAGTTACAATTTATGAATGTCCCCTACACATAAAGAAAAGATTGCTCATCCCTATCCCAGACATACTGGTGTTCAACGTTAGCGTATATTACTGCTAGACAGAAAGTATGGGTGATATTAATCATTCACATATATGTACACATTAATGTTTGACAAATAAGATGTTTTATGTGCTTAACTTTATGTGTAACATGCATACTTACTTAAACCTGTTACCTCTCATGGAGGAGCATAGACCGCTCACCACCATTCTCCATCCAACTCTGTCCTGAGCAATCCTTTCTAGTCGGTATCCATCCTATTTATGTCTGCTTCTAATTTTCAGTGCAGTATGTTCTTTGGCCTTCTTCTTTTCCGTTCACCTTCAGGATTCCATGTTAGGATTTACTTCATGATGCAGTTTGATCATCTCTTCATTATGTGTCCTATCCACCTGAATCGACGTTTGGTAATTTCCTCCTCAACTGAGAGTTGATTTGTTCGTTTCCACAGTGGGCTGTTGTTGATAGTATCTGGCGAACTGACATTGAGTATCTTGTGTAAACAATTGTTTATAAAAACTGATGATAGTTGTAGTAGTTCATGAAGTTTCAACTCCGTATAGTAGAACTAACTGACTTGACTCTCATATTGAAGATTGTTACTTTGATGTTGGTTGACAGCTGTTTTGAGTTCCTTATGTTCTTGGATAGTAGGGATGCTACCCTTACTTTGCCAATCCTTGACTTTACGTCTGCATCAGACCATCCTTGTTCATCGGTGATGCTGTCCGAGTAGGTACGTGAAAGTTTCCGCCTCTTCCAGAAATTCTCCATCAAGTATGATTGAGTTGGTGTTTTCTGTGTTGTATTTGAGGATGTCGATTTTTCCCTTGTGTGTATATTCAGGCCTACTGATGTAGAGGCTGCTGCTACAGTGATTGTGTTGACTTGCGTTTGCTCGTGTGTATAGGTAGAAGGGTCAGTTTATCTGCGATGTTCGAATCGTCTATTTGCATGCAAGCTTTCCATTGTATTCCGTGCTCTAGCTGAGATGTGCAGATATACATATTCCAGTCAACCATCAGAAGAAAGAGAAAAACGAGATAGATAGAGAGACAGAGTAAGCGGCCTTGTGTGACTCCAGTCCTTACTTGGAATGCATCTGTCAACTGTCCTCCATGCATGGCTTGCAGTGTAGTCTGTCATGTGAATTCTGTCTGATGTTGACGATTATCGCAGCTACCCATTAGTGAGTTTCGAATAAGGTTCCACACACATATCGAATGAGATTTGTGTGGCGTATATGTATTTGGTGCCTCTTTGTACCATTAACTATGTGTTGAAATAAATGTACTCCTATTGATGATGTCAAACGCCTTCTTATAATCAAGGAAGTTGATGTATACTGACGAATTCCATTCAATTGGTTGTTCAAAGATGATCTATAGTGTGGCGATTTGATCTGTGCACGATCGATCCTTACGGAATCCTGTCTGTTGATCTCGAAGGTGAACGTCTATTGAATCTTTCATCCGGTTCAACAACACTTGTAATTTGCATGCTTACGTTTATTTAGTGTACTTTGGAAAAGTAATCCTAATCTCTCTATTTTCATATGAGTTCGATTTTATAGATTAGTGAAATAAGTAATCGATCTGGTGCGAAAGAGACCATGAAATGATCGATTACAAGAAACATGTGCATATTTTTATGATAATTGTCAACAAAATGATTGAATTGGTGTATAGCAAAATAAAGGAAATGAAGCTAACTGTGGAATCTTAGATTCACACTCCTTCCTACGTAGGACTAGTCATCTGAACGTATTCACACACTAGAGTGGCTTTTCACTCCGGGACTTCAACCTAGTTCTTTTGCTTCAAACGTTATCGCTCTATCTATTTAGCTAATTGTGCAATTATTTGATGCAAATGCATCCAGCTGAAGAGTCCTAAATAGGATCAAACCTGCGTCCTAGATTTTACTGCTAGCCACATTCCATTGATTTTATGTAAACTTGTGTCACAATACCTGTATCCAGTTAGTTCATACAGAATGCACCGATACCGACTAATACTAATCAGGTTTCAGTTAAAATATCAACAACAATCAGACACACTACCAATGAGCTATCCAGGTGTTCCTGTTGACTACCTTCAACCACCATTTCATTTCAACATGTTGCAGGTGATGTCGGGTCGCCTAGACTAGTGGCTGCATTGCAACTTGGTCGATAGCATTCGATCTGTAATAGAAAGAACCTAACACACATAACATTGATCAATACCCAGTAATCAATCAAAAGTAAACAGATCTCAGTCCCACAGGACCTCATTCGCAGCCCGGATAGCTCATTGGTGACGTCTCTAACTGTGAAGCTTGGTGACACGGGATCGAGTCCGTCAGGGAGCATCACCTCCCTAAACATTACAGGTACACCTTGCTGACAAGTGGCAATTAGCACGAAACCTAGTCCAGGGTTTCCTGTCGACCACCTCCAGCCACCATCTCAAACCAAACACTTTATCCAAGAATTTTAAAATCATTAGATTAGTTATAATAATCGTAAAAATTGTAGATCAAGCAAATAAAACGAAATTTCTCGATAAAGGTACAATAAGTTGCTATAGTACGGATGACTTTGTCCGCTAAATAAGTTAACAAAAGGGCTTAAATGAGTTAAATGCGAACAAACTCAACTGCACGTGAGTTGCTATAATCTACTACAGTATTATATTCATGATAGGTCTACTTATGAGGTTGCTGATCAATTTGAGACTATATTCACTTCCGAATTTCTTGATTTCCATTCTTCAAAGATTCTTCTTTTATATAAAGCCATTTTTGTTCTTTGAATATGTTTGCTGCATGAATACACTTAACTAAAACTTAAAATTTACTTCCATACTGATAATTTTATATTTTTTTTCCAACCGTCTAGTCATGCGGAAGTGGTTTATGCTATCGAATAACATTACGTAAACGTAATCCAAAGCAGAATAATGAACTACAAGATATCAGTTTTAATTATGTCCCAGGAGAAGGTGGGTTGATTTTCTTTTTTTCGCTTTCAAACCTGTATTTTTAACACTTCAAACACTAAGCACGTTAATGACATCAATGAATACACTGATAGGCTTTATTGAATTTCAAGATGAAGAAAAATGTCAAATTGATTAGTGAGAGGCTATGATTCTTTTTGATTCGAGATAATAAAAAATAGCGCTTTACTCATGAACCCGCCCCAGTTATTGTGTAATGATAACTCCCATAAGAAGAGTAGGTTGGAACTGTAGTCGGCTCTTCGCGTTGCCTTCTGAATTCATACACCTTTGGGATTTATTTAATAGTAAGGAATTATCTCGAAGCCAAGCCGCTACAGCGTTGATAGCTTCAGACATGTAATTTGAAAGGTGTGAGCTAATAATTATCAATGGTTGATTACTTAGGGTAAAATGGTGCTACATTGGGTGTATCGTAACGGTGCAGTTGCATTCACTTCTTCCTTTAAATCTTCAGTTTTATTTTATTTCTTATTTTGGCAAAATTATAGTATAGGGTCAGAGCAGTCAGAATCATGAAAGTGACTTTTGTGTTTTGCTCAAAATTCAAATTTCACGAACAGTAGAAATACTTTTGTATGGTGCTCAAATCGTTCAAAATGACGGCAAAAAGTTATTTTTCACCCCCATAGAGTCGGAATTATAATGTTAGATGTATCATATGCTTATTTCTGTCTCTGTATTTGGTATGCAACAGGCAACTCGATAATATGCCTAAATTCTCACATTAAACCCTTCATCTTAAAGCAAACGTTAGCCTGGTGGTGCATCATCTCGTGGACAACCTAATCAGATAATACTTTTGCAATTTTTGTGAGTAATTCATTAATTCAAACGGATAGAAGGCTTTTCCAGATTACAGCTAATGTCAGTTCGTGATGAAAACCCACACACTGACTAAGAAGAAAATGGAAACCCATAAGAATCTATTTATGTGTCTATTGGGTTCCCAGAAGACAGCCAATCTACGTCCATATAGGCGAATTTATATGTCTTTGACCTTTTGATTTACAGGCAGATTAGTCTGTAGATGTTGATAGATTCATTTTTAGTGTAAAATGCATTTTAAACATCGCAACATTATTGCTTCCTTTCTCATAAAAGACCCACTTGCAAAAGCTGTTTCCTCACTAACAAATAATTAGCTGGAAGTTCATCGTGGTTAATTTAAACTTTTCATCTTACTTTTCTCAGTGATATCAACTGTCTAACAGAAATGGTAAACTCAAGTCAAAAGATCATTTTCCATCATTATCTGCACAATTTTATTTCTTGCGTTCATCCTTCATTACTAAAACTAAGGGTTGACAATGTAGTCCTGCACGTTTGTTGCTGTGGTATTTGTATAAATCGAAATGATTCATATTGATCTCATAAATCTATGTAAAGGTTGGATGTTTATTGAAGTTCAATTCAAGATTAAGAAGATCAAAATAGCCCCCAACTACCCTGATATGGCCGAGGGTGAGGTGGTCCCGCCCTCCCTCTCGAAATGCTCTCACACGGCCACGCGTATACAGCCTCTGACAGGGAAATCCTATTCCTACTCACTGCCTTCTCGTGGCACCACTGTTGTTTACGAAATTGAGAGGACGAAAAGCGAATATCCGGTGCTGTCACCATATCCCAAACCAATGGTGCACATGGGCTCCAGTATCCTGCGGGAACAAATGGCGTATGAACCAATCGTTGGTCACCGGTTACCATGGGAATGCATCTCCTGACGATGTTCCACTGCCTTGTTGATTAGACCTTTAGGTCAAAGGCTCGAGGTGTGGCTCTCTAAGAAAACCACCTGCTTCGGTCTGGGCACCCGGGCATTATCACAGCCCAAACACACAAATATGGTGTGGCGCATATATATTTGGTGCCCTCTTGTACCAATATTTATGTGTTGAGATAAATAAATAAATAAAATAGATCAAAATAGGGACTTTCCTAACAGGATGAGAATAATAACGTAGCACACTTATTTATTTTAGGTCAATAGTTTCTTACCAACTTATCTAAAAATAAAATAGTAGTTTGACCGATTTATAATCGAACTGTATACTAACACATGTCTCTAAAGTAATCTAATTTTCATGTAGCAAAAATGAAAACATTTAAAATTCGTTGATGATTGACTTCGAGTCTGTGTACTGAAATTGATTTGTATTTTAACGGCATCATTCGATTGAATGAACCATCTAGTAATCACATTTGTGGTTTGTTTATGTAGAGTTTTGTTTTCTGAACTGGATGGTTTGGTCGCGACTATGGCCACCTGAGTTACATATCTTCTTCACCGTCTCTTTGTGGTTTATGCACACAAATACACACAATCATTTACTTGTTCATTGCTCTTTGATATTCAACAGTTTTTCTTAAAATTGACATCAACTAGTTATGAAACAATGTAAGATCACATAGTCTAAGAAAGTATAAAACTTTTCTAGGCTGCATGCTTTTGATTTTGGATATCTTGTAAGCATTACTCGCGTATCCTGAGAACAGCCAAGTGAACAGTGCTGTGTTTAGACACAGGGTAATGAACAAAGATCGCAAATAGATTTACGTAGTTGAATCACTCACAACCACCAATTAAAGAAAATCTAAACTTTCAAATTAACCAATTAATAATTATACACTATCCATCAAAATTAACATGTGTTTATCAAAATAAAGGTTTCATTTAATGAAAGTAGCACGCACACTTCCTCTCTCAATATATATGTATTACCGAAATTTCACGATATATAACTTGCTAAGTTCCCTTGGATCATGTATGAGAATCATATGATGTGCTGTTATATTCGATCGGATACACATATTATACCCTATTTGATTGTTTTAACAGTTGCTAATGCTCAGTAACACTAGTCAATAACTACTCAATTAGTCCCAATTTTATTAGTCCATGAGATCTAACCAACCCCACCGTAACCCACCAAAGCTGCCCTATGATTGTGATGATCAACTTAGTCTGTTTCAACGAACTATTCGAGTTATTTGTATTCTTAATAATTTCTTCTCCAATGTCGTATTGTGTCAGTTAGAGGATTAGAAAAGCCCGTAAGACCGCAAGAAGCAAATTCTATTCGGCACAATGAAGTTATACTCCCGTCTGCACTAGAGTTTGACGCTAGTATGGTGTATCCTAGATATAATTGACATCACCGATTTTAACTTCCCAGGTGCTGTAGTTTAGGAAATGTTAGTCCTAAAACTACCATATCTCCACGAATTTTCGATTCTTGCAATAAGGTTATAGATGTACTTAACTGATACACCAAGAACCATCAAAAAACATCTTTCGCGATCAGCCCCAATAAGTTATCTATTGAGCTCTGCGGTCACATTTCCAGGTTGACATGACACTGACTACTTATCACGTTTTTTTTAGACCCTACAAGTGAAAATAATAACTATGTGAGTTATTCTCTCACACATCGCTAACACCACTCAACTATCCAGTTTTGGATTTGAACCCTACCATATTTACGTCTTTCTATGATGTAACTTGTGAGGATTTAGATCGATTCGTATGTGTGCTGCATTGTTTTTCCATGATGTCTTCTTAACACTTCTAACCTTTGCAGTTACGTTTAACTCAATTGTTGCTACCTTCTTCAAGCCTCGTTAATGAAGCTATAATGATATATTTTTCTTCAAAACATTACCACGAATAAATTCAAACTGACTGCAAAGCCGAATTATACCTAGTCTCATTGTAAAAATTATCTGATGATCGATTTTATCTCACCCTTATTTCAGCCATTCAATATCATCAAATATCTCATTCCGTCATCTTTGTTTAGCTGTCATGTATTCTCCATCCATGTCTCACAATAGATCATATTATAACCGAGAAAGGCTAACTATGTCGAATATTCTCGTGTCTTGCGTTGTCACAGTTTTTTCTCGAATAAATATGTATATCACTGTAATATAACTTAAATTATCACGAGTTAATCCTTGATAAAAATATTAAACCGAGTAACGTTACACCTAGTACGTATAAATATGGGACAGCGGCCTTAATCTTTGAACCACTTCACTATCAGTCATCAGGTCGCCAGTATCAACACCACCCTACTTTGGTTTTACCTAATCACATAATATCACTACTAACTGACAAACATAAGCAACGTCGCTCAAATCCATCTACATACACAATTTATAATGTACTTGGTAAATTAAGTCTTTGTGTTATAATCGATTATCTTCCTCTCCAATCCTTTTGAAAAATTCATACTTGCACTATCAATGAAAGTGAGTTTATTTGTTGCTTTTTTGTTTCATATATAATAAACATTATCTTATCTATAATATACAATGATTTATATTTTTTTTTCTGTTTAATTGTAGTGTACTGAAGTGATAATATTCTTTGATGGTTATTTCTCTTTCTTGACTTTTTACAGATTCAGCTGATGTTTTAGCACGTGAACTAGTCCAAGCCGATTTACTGGATGGTTGTGATTCATTATTGGGTTAGTGTTCAATGTTTTGTTCATATGTTTTTCCAGTTTTTTTCCCTATTTTTATGCCCTATTGTTTTGTTTCTAAAAGTTAAGGGTAGTAGCAATTTACTAATATGACATAATAGACGCTTCCGATGTTATTGCTTGTGTAAGTTGAGAATGTTGAGTGATCGATTTCGAGATTTAACGCAAGGTATTAGTGTTGTGTGTGCTACTTATATTGACATAAGTAGTAGATTATATTAGTCGTGAACGGAAGGTCTGGCAACAGAGAGGCAAGAGGATCGAACAGTAAAAAATGGAAACAGAATGCAATTTGTGTGAAAATGCAAGAACAATGAAGTCTGAGTCATTTTGAGACAATTGGTGGACATTTTACAAATTAAGCATTTACTTTATGATTGTTAGATTTTATTAACAAGTCTAGTAATTCTGTGTTTCATACTTTCGATTGTCCCCACTGGTGTTCTGTTCACTACACTAGGTAAGGATGATAAGTCGATTCACAAGCTTGTAAACCTTTATCTACTGAGATAGCTAGGACATGTAATACATATAATCAACAATCCTACCTTGACGAGTAATACTGGCTCATATATGAGTGGATTAGCGGAAAGCTAGAGGCGGCCAAATGAAAACCTCTCATCAGTCCATTAAGTCAATGATCTCTAAACTGTGTGATGCAACTCGGTGGAGACTTCCTTATCGGGGTCTGCATGATTATCGTAACTGGTGATTAGCAAATCTGAATAGTAATATTACGATGGTATTAATCGATGGTTGTCTTGTTAAATCGCTAATTTGTTAATGCTGAGAATATTGAACACTACCTCAGTGACTGATGAATTTTATGTTCATTGTTAGTTTAGTGATTATGATAATTCATCTATTAACTACGGATTTACATTTTCAGCTTTGAGTTCCACGGTATACGAAGGCTAGTAATACCAATCGTTCTTTTAAATCCCAGCAAATTGAAAAGAGTCTTTAGATCTACCATTTAATGCTCGAAAACAAAATACTTAAATTATTGTATTGCTGTTTAAGATAGGGTTATTCATTGTTAAACAGTCGCAACAATTGTTTAGCGCTTCCTAAGTTTCAATATTTTTATTATAGAATGATTGTGTTCATTTCCATTAAATCATTTACTTCAAATAAATTTAACATATTTTCAATCAGCGTTGAACCTTAATTATTTTATTTTTCTAAATAACTAGTAAAGTGTATTTAACTCTTACATTTAATATTAGAAGGGGTGTTTTGTGGATATTATAGTAATTTCAGTAGTTGAATGCTAGAACATTACTATAGAGAACCTGGAAGCACTGGACTCCTCAACAATGCGCATTCACGATCCTGCCTCGCGAGGTTTGAACCCAGGACCTATCAGTCTCGCGCGCGTGTGGTTAACCTCTAGACCACTGAGCCGGCAACCATGGTGGTCTATCCTCAATTGACTCATGATCTCAACTATTGAAATTAATATCCACACAAAAAAACCTGATATTAATCAACATATGCTCACTAGCGACTGGTTTCATGAAGTATTTCCTGGAGTTCTAGTGAGAAGCAGTGACCAGTGGAGTTAAGTTAGGTCTGTTTTGAAATAGTAACTCACTGAAGACAACGGTAGATGTGTTGCTTAATTTCGTGGTTTCGTTGAAGTTAGACATTAACACCATTTGATGCCGGCTAATTGGTCTTACATTGAACTTAGTGAAGTGGAATTTTGACAATGTCTGAATTTATCACTATTGTATAATTCTTCAATGTTAAATAAATTAAATCATCAGTAGTATATTAATCGTATATTAGTATCGATAACTGTTCAGTACCAATTTGTGTGTGTGTGTGTGTTTGTGTCAACCTAGTTATCATTTACACCTTTTTTCTATTGTAGTATTCTAACAATAAACCGCATTAATCGAACAACTATGTCATTTTAAACACCATTGTATTTAGATTATGATTTACATGTATGAAATTTATATTTTATCAATTCAATTAAAGGTCATTTTAGGTGAGGCAGAGTTTTAATACTATTCTCATGATGATATATGTTAATGATATAATGTTAATAAACCCATTTCCACCTTTTATGCAACGGAACTGTGTATCTATGTATGTATGTATGTATGTATGTGTGTGTGTGATGTATACCCGTTTTGTTCACTTGTGAAATCCTTTTTTTTTTAATGTCAACACTATATACTATTGCCATGCAGTTGTGTTTATTATGTAAATGATAGAAATTTATCTGATCTCATGTTTGTTTGTTTGTTTTTTTCTGATTTGAATGATTAAATTATACAATTGAAAATATGCTTGTTTATTTCTAAAATGGTTTCTCTCTCTCTCTCTCTATTTATCTATTTTGTTAATTGATTTTAATAAATTTTTGTAATGATGATAGTTTTCTATTGTTGTTAATATGAATATTAAAGTTTTCTTAATCTAATACATTTTATGATAAAGATTCGTTTATAAAACATTTTAGCTGTTTAGTTTGTTTGTTTTTTTTATTATTAATTTTTAGAATTTAGATATTTCATTCTGATATTTAAAGTAGTCAGTCAGTCAGTCAGTCAACAACACAGAACTTCGTATGTACGTTTCATAAATATATCAACATTTCATCGCATTTGTGTGTAGGCTGGGATACTGCCCGGGTGCCCAGACCGAAGCAGGTGGTTTTCTTAGGAGGCCACACTCCGAGCCTTTGACCTAAAGGTCTAACCCACAAGGCAGTGGAGCATCGTGAGGAAATGCAGTCCCATGGTAACCGGTGACCAACGATTGGTTCATACGCCATTTGTTCCTTTAGGATTCTGGAGCCCATGTGCACCAATGATTTGGTTTGGAATCTGGTTAAAGCGCCGGACATTCACTTTTCGTCCTCTCAATTTCGTAAACAACAGTGGTGCCACGAGAAGGCAGTGAGTAGGACTAGGATTTCCCTGTCAGAGGCTATATACGCGTGGCCATGTGAGAGCATTTCGAGAGGGAGGTCGGACCCACCCCCACTCTCGGTCATACGAGGGCAAATCAATAGATGACGTAGTGAAACGTCATCAGTCGAGATGCCTGGGACATGTGTTACGTATGCCCAACCACTGACTGCCTCGACGTGCGATGTTCAGTGGTATAGAAGTAGGTTGGAAGAAAGCTATGGGCGGCTAGACCAAAACATGGCACAAGTCCATGAAGTCATTGACAAGTGGACTGAGTCATGTTGGTAGATGTAGACTACCTGGTTGGGGACCGCGAGATGATAGCAACCGATGGTTAGAGACCCTGAATGGCATGGCTCAAAATCGTTTGCAATGGCTCAGGTGCATACACTCTTTGTGTTCTCGCAAATTTTGATCTCCTTGTTCCTCCTTGTCTCTTTTATTTTCTCTTCCCAAATTTATTTCACTGTATTATACTCTTTAAATAACATCTTCAAACCCTAACTTTTCTGATTACAGCTTATAATTTTTCTACATCTAGCACTACGGGATTTGAATCGACCACTTCATCTCTGTGCTAATGTGATGTGGCAACTCGAACTGATGTACGTACGTACGAAGTTCTACGTTGTTACTGACTGACTGACATACGAGGGCATTTGGAGGCGGTACCAATATTTATGTGTTCAAATAAATAAATGAAGTACGTACATCAGTTCGAGTTGCCATACCATATTAGCACACAGATGCAATTGTCGGTTCAAATCTCATAGTGGTAGAAGTAGTAAAAGTATAAGCAGTAATCGGAAACATTAAGTTTTAAAGATGTTACTTAAGGAGTAGCATCCAGTGAAATAAATTTTGAAAGAGAAAAAAAGAAAGGGACATGAAGAATTCAAAAGATTAGAATTTGGGAGTAGTATTTACAACTGGACATGATATTTTATGAGTATATAACTGAATATATTGGAGTAATCAGTATTGTTATAGTGACACTATTATCTAGAAAATGGGTTAATTAAGATAGAAATAGTGTTTTATTGACCTGTAGAACTGAATTTTACTCACTTATGCATAATTTAATTGTGATCGGTCCTTTCTATTGCTATAAGGGCTTGTAATTGTTGAGCTTGCATAGTTTATATAATGGATTAATCGTAGTTAGACAACCACTGAAAACTATGAAGCTATATCGTCCTAATATGAGATTTCAAGAATGCACATCTACGAACAAACCTGGGATCAAACCTAGAACCTTCTGGTCTCACGGCGAGAAGTTAACTTGTAGACTGCTCAGTTGACATACAATGGCTTATATATCTAACTTCAATTAGTTCGCGATATTGTACGGTCATATTTCATTACTTGGAGTGGATATCATGTCTCACCCTACATGATCTTACTCCAGTAGTTATGGCTTCTCACTAGAATTCCTGGAATTATCATTTGAAGTTAGCCACCAGTGAGCACATAATTATTATTACCTATGTATAGGGTTTATGAAAATTGTTTAATTTTATTAGTTTATTCTCAAGTTAAGTGTTTCGTAATCCAGGAGAAATTGTATTAATAATGATTATTAATTTTCTGTACTTATCTATTCTGTCTACATGGAGATTTATAATGTAGCTTTTCAACGTTAGATAATAGGACTGTGTAAATTATTTATTCACAAATCTGTGCAAATCTGTTTTAAGAAAACCTTTTCAGTATGTAGTATGTGCCTTAGTAACGGTTGATCAGTTTTTTTTCTACTATTTTAATGGAATACATAATCGTTCTGTTATTTTAGGGTTTACTCTAGGTGGTTATGTATCAGTAAACTTTTCTCTCTACCCCCCATATGTAGGCAAAAACCATATGTAATTTTCAAAGATTTGATCGAAGTTTTAGTATATTTGTATTGCATTGAGATATAAAAAACGCCTATGTCATCCTATTTTGAACTCGTCGTCTGAATCTACACACACCTTAGTGTTGTGATGTTCGTTATCCTGTGCCTTTGCACAAGTTAATGGCTATCTGGACTCAGTAGCTAAGTCGATAACGCGATGGAGTTTAGAGAAAACCGTACTGAATTCGAATCTCAGAGTAAACGTCAACCTTGGTATGCAAATCCATACAGCTGACGAGTCTCAAATAGAACGAGGCACACATATTGCGGGCTACTGATAGCCACATTCTATCTATTCTATATCTACAATTATTATGTCTAAATCTCCACTACAGTTAATATTATTTAATCTTTTCTCTGTCTATGCTGTTGTTAAGTTATGTGGAATTAAACGGATAAACACATTTGCATCAAGTTCTTTACTGTTTATAATTGACGGAAGATTTTCTTTATTTCAATTATTACCAATGTCTTGAAGAACAATAATTTACTCTCAATATAGACACTTGTTTATCTACTAAATCGAAGCATCTAAGGATTTATGTTAATCTACGTTGTCCCATTTCTTTTTTATTATAAGAATAAAAACCACAGTAACCAAATGAATATCATTTAAACATTGAGTTTCAACACAAACTGATATATTTGTATGTTTCATTGTATTAAAAAAGAAATTCTCGGAAATGCAAATCTGACATACTTTTTTCTTTGAGGAGTTTTTTCTCTAATGAGATTGTCACATATAGTAAATAAAAGTTTAATTCACTTAGTCATAATCAACATAAAGCTTAGTACATATGGTTGTCAGATCAAGTTCCCATATCACATCGGCATGATAAGATCAAAATGAGAATAAGATAAAATAGCAAATGAATTGAAACAATAGTATTATCAATAGTTATGAAAATGAACATATGGTTTTAAAATAAAGCATCAATTGGATGAAATAACATCGAAGCTGCAGGAGATCAAAAAAAAAACATTCCATTATCCCAATGTCTCCAGTCGGTGAGTGTGGTTATCTTGTGAACCTCAACACCTACGAACATAGTTCAGTAATAATAGTCGTTGAATTCATGACCTGATGCCGTTCTTAGTCTGCTCGTTCTCTAGTTGCTTTTTGTTTTTTTTAAAAAAACGTATTCCTATTCTAGCCAACATTGCACGTTGATGTGTAATGCATACAGCTATGAAAGCTTCATAATTAAACTTTCTATTTTTCTTTTAAAAAAACCCATCATATTCCCAAATCTAAACATCAATTCTTGGATGTGATATTTTGAATTCTTCATTTTCTCATTTCTATTATACCTTTGATATTCTTGTTTATTTAATTTTTGTGAATTGAATATGTCAATAATTATGTTAAGTGATTACTATTAGTATTAGTTAAATGATCAAGTTTTGTTTTAAATACAAACATTGTTCGCGCGATTTCTCTCCCTCATACACACACACACACACAAATTATACTTTATTCAATAAGGTTTGTTAAAAGTAAACAATTTCCAATTGATTGATGGAATAATATGAAAAAAGGGAAGGATTGGTTTACATGTAACTGTGTATGTATGTATGTGTGTTTGTATTTATAATGATATTGGTGAACTGTAACGAATTACATTAAGTAATGCCTGTTAATTCATTCAATTAATCTGTCAATAAAATAATTTTTTTAGGTGTCATAAATTTACATTGACCCCTATTAGGTATAATTGAAGATTGTTAGTAGGAAACTCATGTATGACCTACTTTTTGTACTATTTAACCTGTAATCCCGAAGGGGCTAATACTTCCTAATGGATTCAAACCCTATTTATCCAACTTCACAGTTCACGTTGTTACAATTGTCCTATTCGTGCTACCAGCAGATGATGTCGTGTCATTTAGATTAGTGGCCACATGGCATCTTGATCGATAGAGAGAGTAGAGAAAAATAACTATAATCACTATTCAGTGACTAATCAAGGAAGAGTCCCATACTAGGACGAAACGGCCGTCCAGTGCTTCCAGGTTTTCAATGGTGGTCTAGCTTCAACTGACTCATGATTTAAATCTGTGATAATCAATTATATGTTAATCCTGTTTCCTACTACTGTGTGCATCATAAGGGCGTTCTCTTTAAGGAATAACTATACAAAAGGATGGATAAAATAAGAAAATCAAAATGTATGAAATAATGTGATACATTTAGGAAGAGATTAGAAATTAATGCACCTATTTCACGGCAATAGATTTTGATTAGTGACATTGTTTACAATACTATCTCATTGAATTACACTAGTATACGTTAGTTGGTCGATATAAGTCAAATCAACGGTTATTGACTTTATGGAATAATATAGTATATTGATCAGACTGTTTCTGGACTTTTTTCCAATCTATTTTTATACTACTGTTGAGGTTAATTCCTCTGCAATATATAATACTCCGTCAACTGAGTATTTTAAGCAGGCCAAATCTTTTAGTAGTATTATAAATTTACTTGAAAGACAGAACACTAGTTGTGCGGACAGTGTATTCTCAATGATTAGTAAAATCCACAAGCGTGCAGAAAGCGAGAACACAGGGAACAGTGTGTGTTGAGTGTTAAAATATATCTATGAGTGTTAATCGACTGTGGGTAAGTTATTGATTACCTGTGTTTACAACCAACTGGAGGATAATTAAAGATTGGGGTGCAGACATTGATTTAATTAGACTCACACATACATTTATGTAGTGGGTTAATTGTCAAAATTATAACAGTTAGGTAATAAAAAGTTGATTAACTTGTTTAGATAACCTCATTATCTGGCACACGTAATACATACATCTTAACTATCTTAGTTTTATACGAATATTCAGGTGAGTCTATGGACGAACCAGTCAGGTCTAATATAGCGAGTCTCGGATTATAGCACGAAATTCATTTATCTGTATGGTTAAATAGCATTTTAGTATTATAACTGATGTTGATTCGTGATGAAAAGACAAACTCTAACCCTAGATTCCTATAGTAACTTTTTTTACCTTAATATGTAACTCTTTTTAGATCGTAGCAAATCAGATTTTCTCAGTTATTTTGGTGTTCATTGAAAGGTCGTCCATAAATTATAGTCTCATCAATATTTAACTTGCTTATAATCAAATTTATCTCAATTTATTATACCATCATTATGTATACATTGTTGCGCTTTTTTTATATTTCTGTTACCGATTAGTATTATATAACCAATAGTTTTATTTTCATCTGTTTATCTTCCCATTATATTTCTGTAGTTGCACATCATATGAGTGAATTAGTCAGTAATCCAAGTGAACGTGAACGTATTTTACCATTAGTAAGTTATTGGTTTTCAAACAAATAAATAATGATCATAGTTTCACTTTTATTGTGGATCTTCAAAAAGAAAAGATCAAGCAATTTATAATTCATAAAATTGTATTATATAGTTCAATTTGTTGATTTATACACCAGTGATCGTAGATAACGACTAAGGAATCTTAATGAAATAAACATGTAGATTTATTCTCTATTTATACTCTATTCATTCATATTTCAAAACGTATACAATAATGTGCCTCAAATTCCGGACTATACTCCAACAACTTATAAAACATCACAATATATACACAACTCAGTTATAAGTATTACAACAACTAAGCAATGATGAATTAAATAATTGATAATTAATCTAGAATAGTTTATTTATTTAAACACATAAATATTGGTACAAGGAGGCATCAAATAGATATCCTCCACATGAATCATTCAATTGGTGTGAGGGCTGGGGTACTGTCCGGGTGCCCAGACTGAAGTAGGTGGTTTTCTTAGGAGGCCACACTCCGAGCCTTTGACCTAAAGGTCTAACACACAAGGCAGTGGAACATCGTGAGGAGATGCGATCACATGGTAGCCGGTGATCAACGATTGGTTCATACGCCATTTGTTCCTTTAGGATACTGGAGCCCATGTGCACCATTGATTTGGTTTGGAATCCGGTTAAAGCGCCGGACATTGGCTTTTCGTCCTCTCAATTTCGTAAACAACAGTAGTGCCACGAGAAGGCAGTGAGTAGGACTAGGATTTCCCTGTCAGAGGCTGTATACGCGTGGCCGTGTGAGAGCATTTTGTGAGAGAGGGTGGGCCAACCCCACCCTCGGCCATACCAGTGCATTTGGGGGGATCTTGAATAGTAAGATATATAACAATAGTTTATAAGTCAAATGAACGCTTACAAGTAAGAGAATATTAAAACACGATAATACAAAGATCTAATGATAATATGACAAATATCTAGACAATAACTTTCATGACTTTCTCAAATTTTCTTCTATATAACAACTTGATTATATGTATATTGCTACATGTTTTGAACTGTCGATTAGTTAAATTTAATTTTCATGACTCTTAGATAATTAATATCAGAAGGGGTTTTGTGGATATTATAGTAATTTCAATGGTTGAGATCATGAGTCAGTTGAAGCTACACTACAATGGAAAACCTAGGAGCACTGGACGGCCGTTTTGTCCTATTGTAGGACTCCTCCGCAGTGCGCATCCATGATCTCGCCCCCTCGCGAGACTCGAACCCAGGACCTATCAGTCTCGCGCACGTGCGCCTAGATAATTATCATTATATTGTATGTGAGAATAGTTTTCCTTAGTACTAGATAATTAGATGAGTTGAACTTAGGACTAGATCAATAGAATATGATTTTTTGATCACAAGGTACATTTACGCATGAATATTCGACGACCGATTAAGAGCCAGATATAAGCTACAGTAATAATATATTATCACACAATACAAAACAGTCAGTAAGTGAGGTCAAAATGAAATCGGTTTTACATATGAGTTAATTTCTTATTATTCTATGTGACCAGATATATCTTTCTTTACTCATCAGCTAGTCACAACTTTAACCGACCTATCAAGTACCCACAATCTTGAAGACATTAATATTTCCTGTATGGTTGAAATCCGTATCACCTATCCTCACAATCTGAGATCTTACTTCTAAGCTTTTTGAGGCACAATCGATTTGTAGTAGGACTGAGATGTTATCTACCAAATATGTACAATGATCTAGCACAAACATAATGTTTAGCCACTTAGATTATTAGCCACATTGCAACTTTATCATTAAAATTCGATCAGCACCAAAAAGGATGATACGAAAACAACATTAGTCCTTATTCAGTTATAAACCAATCGAGCTTTTCGCAATATAACTCATTTAATAACTACAAGTTTTGTTATAATGGGTAATGTCCAAAATCTGATACTGATACAAAACGTGCTACGCGCTAACCCTTCCAATTCACTAGTTGAGCAAGAATACAAGAATGGACGAGAAAGTATTTTGGGGTATGGAATAAAATACGTAACTACTCATATATATACCCCTTGGGAAATAAATTCATTTCTTAGCCAATGATATGCACTTGTCTTTCAAGTCACTTCTGTTTGACATTTTCATTTAGCTACCTCTAATTCGTTTACCATATAAGTTTGTATGATCGTTTTGTAAATTTTCGCTAATTATATTACCCATATGTAGCTTTCAAAAATCCTTATTGTTTGTAGACTATCATCAAGAGGCTAACTAGTTTGAAATCGCTAACAAGGTATATTTCCACTCTTAATGGAATTAGTGCTCATGATGACAAGATTTTAGCCTACATCACTTAGTACCACTGTTATATACATTACTCGTAAAGTATTCTGAGTAGTAGGTTCACATAAAATGAAACTCTTGTTATGGATTTAACTGTTAATTTAAGGTATCATTATAATATAGTAAATAGTATTTAATATCAGATGGGTTTTGTGTTCATGCGCGAAACTAGTAGGTCCTGGGTTGGAATCTCGCAGGGGGCGAGGTCGTGGATGCGCACTGCTGAAGAGTCCCACAATAGGAGAAAACAACCGTCCAGTGCTTTCAGGTTTTCCATAGTGGTCTAGCTTCAACTGAATCATGATCTTAACCATTGAAATAGTATTTACTCAATATTGATAAATAGAGATGTAGTTATTTCTTATTGACTTATAAAATTCCAGGCAATATATATCACTTACAATCTACTTCAAAGTGAATTTCCATAAAGCAAACAAACAAAAATGAAGTTTCGTTTTTTTTTTCAAAGAAAAATAGATTACTTGTCTAAACAATTCAGTAATAAATACACTTATTTTTATGACTAGTCTTTATTAGTGTATAATATCATACTACATATATATATATCTAAATGTAGTTATAATAATATATCCATTTCATTGATTAATCACATTGATTAGTAACCAAGTTCTAATCAGTTTTAGGTTTCAAAGAATTCTATCGATCAAGTTTCTATAATGATCATTAATTTAAGAGATTAGATACCATGCATACAATGCTTTGATATTAGATGATTGTCAGAAGAAGAAAAAACACAAATAACTAATAGTTGGTTTTCGTGATAGTTTTTTTTAGTTGTCAAGATGATGTATGTGTAATTTTTAAAGAACTTTGAAAGAAGGCAAATCTACGTCATTCAGCTTTTTAGTTTGAAACGCTTTATAGTAAGATGCTCGTTAATTAGTGTGTAAATATATCAGTCCTAAATGAATACCATCTACCAGCACAACAATCAATTAAAGCGACGTTAGATCTTAGATTTTCCACTCTTAACACATTGTTTAATCTCTCTCTTATTGTGGATGTCGAGGTAGTTGAACTTACTAAACCCATGTTTCAACTATGTCACTTAATTCATGATCCATAAATTCAATATCTAAATTCCCACCTTACTCAAATACCATTACTCAACATCAGTATTACTTATTACATTGATTTTTGTGTGCACCAGCAATACTTCAAAGATTGGTAGGGTTTTTTCGAAATTGTTCATTGTAATGGAACAAACTCATATACATATATATAACATCACCTTTTCAATTGACAAATTTACATCTTATCCGTATCATCATTTTTAACATGATGAAAGTTAAATGAACTTTATGAACTAACGTTAAAGTTACTTCAGTGATCATATTCTTTACTTATTATTTTATTAATTTTAGAATTCACAACCAGCTGCTGGTCAAGTTCCAATTGAATCTGAATTACATGGTTATGCAAAAGTACTTATTCGAGTAATTAGTACACCGACAACAACATGAAAATCACTATTATTACATCATTATAATAATGATTACTAAACAATCGGCATTTTACAAGTTTATTCATAGAAATGATCTGTCTATTTATCTATTCTTTTTCTATATGATGAATAGCTCCCATACTACTACTACTACTACTAATAGTACAAAAAACTGTTCTGTTACTCGCTATATTATTTTGTGTGTGTGTGTGTGTGTGCGTTTTACACTACACACTAATAAAAAGATTTCAGAGAAATAAAAATCCATATTTTTTCTTTTTATTACAGTCCTTCTCATTCTTTTGTTTCCACTTAACTTCCTAAGCATCGCTATCTAACCTTCTTTCTTACTATTCATAGTAATAATAATCATTATTATTATTATTATTATTCAATCACTGATATTCTTTCAGTCTGATTGTTAATTATATAAGTAAATATGCTTAATGAAAATTAGATACGATTATGTATGCATATTGACAAATAACTAACTAACTGACTGCATTAAATTCTATGGTGTATATTATATAAAATGTTTGTGTTTGTTGTATATGCTTGTCTTAACAAGTGTGTGCTTTTCTCTTCTTCTTCTTCTTTGTCTTCCTTCTTATAAACAAATAATGATATGTATGTTCAGTAATAGAAATACATAGTATTTTGGGAGGGGGGGAAGAGGGGGATATCAATTGTATACTACACAGTATGAGATATTATTTTTTATATCTTTAATTTAGTTTGTGTTTATTTGATTACTATTGTTACCCTAATTCTCCTCTTTAAAACTAACTACATTATGAATCTACTTTTAAAATGTTGATATACAGTTCATGTTCTCTGTCAATTTTCCATAAATTTAATAGACAATCAATCATAATCAGATATTCTCTTTTCTCTTCATCTCTTATATATATATCACAATGAAACTTCCGAAAGTTGCATGTTAGGAAGAAGAAAAAAAACAATTCTTGTGTTATGTTGCAACATTTGGAATCGAAATAAGTTGATGACAGTGGTGTGTATATGTGTGCATGTCAGCCATAATTCTTTGTTTGTTTGTTTGTTTTCTTTTTCAACATACAACATAGTTAAACTGTTCGACATTTTTTCACCTGCTTCTTCTGTCTTATTTCTTTCTGACAGCTTTTATTTTGCATAATGACTTTCAGCAACAACAAAAAAAACTGTATTATCCCTTTTAATAAAATTTTGTTGACTCAAATTTGTTCTTGCTAATATTATTAGTGCTGATTTTGTTTAGTTATTTTAAAGTAGCATGTCAAGCTTCGGTGAAGTTTATTTTTGTGAATGTCCGGCGCGTTAACCAGGTTGAAGGACACAGAGAGTCGACCTAGGAAGGAAAGTTGGAAAACTGTGATCCTCAGCCAGTGGTGCACATAGGCTCCATGGTCCTGAAGGAACAAATGGCATATGAACCAATTGTTGGTCACCGCCTACCATGGAACTGAATCTTTGAACGTTGCTCCACCGCCTTGTGGATTAGACCTTTAGGTAAAAGGCTCCGAGTTTGGCTCCCTAAGAAAACCATCTGTTTCGGTTTGGGCACCCGGGCAGTATCACAGCCCTCACACAAGTCTCATTTGGTTTGTGTGACGCATATGTATCTTGTTCCCCCTCGTACCAATATTTATGTGTTCAAATAAAATGCCTATTGTAATGAAGCAACCGAGCTATACTGGCTGGAACAACCGTTCCTCAAGGTCCTACCATGTCAGACAGGTCGGTTGAAGAGCGGTAAAATTAAAAGCAACAAACCTAAGGTCTGAAGGCGAAGTCATACTGTTGACTGTACAGAGGTGTGGCAACGGTAAGGTGTTTCCTTCAGACAACCAGCGTGACGGCGATGCTGCCTTCCCACAAGGAGAGGTGGGGTTAGAAATAGTCGCCTTATCCCACGGATGTCCGTCTCCGGCGGTAAGGTCTCAACAATTACGGAGCTAACACAAAAATTACCCATAAAAAGGTCTTGTGTGACCGACCTCAATCAGTTGTACCTTGGGCACTGCGGTCACGCTCTCGGGTCACTAAGACTACCTCTAATCCAATTTCCATTTTAGGTACCTCCAGAACAACCCTTCCGCGGTGTGGGCAACCGGGAAGTGATAACCACCCTCATACCTCTAACAACACTCAAGACCACTGATTATGAATCTAACATATCTATGTGTTGTCTATAATTCCCACAATAGGCTAATAGTCTAGGAAATTTAACTAATAAATTCACTGAAAAGTTAAAAACTTGATACTCTACCAAATAATCGTGTTTAAGAGTACAACACCAAGAACGATAAGGAAGAAAATCATACTTGGGAAACAGAGATTTCAGTGTTCAAAAAGATTTTACACTTAACACTCATTTCTTTTTTCATTCAGTCCTGACTTTCACGTTTGAGTGACATTTTCATTCATAGTTCTTGAGTTATTAGATACCTTTTGATACAAATGTATCGGTGTAACGCGGCTGAGCACACAGAAAATATATAGCGAAATTAGGGCTCAAAATGTTATTTAAACTAAAATGCAGTGGAAAAGTGCTGTATTTGATACTTGTTGCATTGGAAACGTTGCGGATGAACTAGGCAATACAATTGTAAATACACTTCAGACATACTACAAACCAACTTAAATTTGTAATCTTGGTTTCCAATAAGGTGTTCATATACCTACAGATATCTATGTTACAAGTAGGATACGTCGTTGTGTTGTTGGTAGATAGTCGATGTATATCGAAATATGTGATCAGTTGTTAAGCTCATTATTAATAAAACCTACCGAATCTTCACTACTTTAATAGGTAGTTTACATAATATTCGCCATATTTAGATAGGTTCTCTTAAATGTAGAAGAATATTGAGTTGACTTTAAACGAAAAGAATGAAGAAAAAACACATGAAACATATAAAGAATTTAATAAATTGTATTATATGTACCAAAGTAATAATAATAATTTACATCAATGCAGTATTATTTGACGGTAAGATAAGATTTTGTCCAGTATTAGTTTAAAATGATGCGAGAATAGTTACTTCCTTACACCCGTTCCTCCTCGTGAAGGAGCATAAGCAGACCACCAGCATTCTCCATCCAACCCAGTCCTGGGCAATTCTTTTTCAGTTCTTCCAGTCGCTATTCATCCTTTTCGAATCTACTATTTCCCCACGTAATGTGTTATTTGGCCCCCCTCTTTTCTGCTTCCCTTCAGGATTTGAAGTTGGGGATTGCATCGTGATGCAGTTTGATGATTTGCGTAATGTATGTCCATCGTCTTTTCATAATTTCTTTCTCAACTGGAAGCTGGTTTGTTCTCTCCCACAGAAGGCGAGAATAAATGTGAAATATCAACTTGTACAGCTTATATATAGGTGGTGAAGTTAAAATGAATTTTGAAAAGTCAATATATGGAAATGCAATACCAGGGTATTGCGTCATAGTCACAAACTTCGAATGTTTGAGGATACTATTTATCTAGAAAGAAAAGAGCGTGAGAGAGAAGAAAGAAAGAAGCAACTAAAGTGACAGATGATTAATCATGATAATGGGGGTATATTTAATATCGACCACTTAGGCAAGTCATTAAGTTTTTAATTCACGTAAACGGGTGAATGTATGTAAGTTTATGTAATACGATTTAAAGTAAAACCAAAGTTTATACAGTAGTATTTTAGAATGATGATATGATAGTGCCAAATAATTGTAAGGGTTAATCAATTTGTATGAAAAGGAAGTAAAATAAACGGACAAAATCTCAAAGGTTCTACTTTGCTTCACTGTCAATTAGATAGATATCGGACCTTGTTTGTATAGCTCATTGGTAATCACACTGACATTTGATAGGTGACAAACCACTTTCGGAAGGAAAGTCATCAAGAAGACTTTTGAACCGGGTTATAGTTTCACTGTGACAGAGATTTACTGGGAGTCTGTTCCATATACTTGAATAGCAAATAACAATGAAATTCTGACGTAATTTTGTGTAGGTTATCGGAATCAACAGAACCTTCTCTTTATTAGGCAGGTTGTAGGATGATATGATAGAATACGAAAAAGTGGATGCCGAAGAGTGATAAATACAATTTATAAACCGCTAGATCGTCCAGCAAAAAAATTGTTGTGGGCAAAATAAATTTAAACCTGTCCTTGATCACTATAAGAGATTACTATAACCAACAACTGCATAAATCATCAAACGGTAATCACCCTTTATATAGACGTCGTTAACTTTCTTACTAAATGTTTTTAATGAAGTGGAGAATACTGCCTATTTTTACTGTCACTTTTATCTGACCGATTGTAAAACTAAACATAGAATATATGCACCATAAGTACTATAATATGTCTCAGGTCACTACTATAAATGAACGCAGTCATATTTTCTAATCCTGTTAAAAGTACAAAATGATCGATCTCTGACAAAACGTCAATGCAGAAACACTTGAGTTAATTTATATGTAATACCAAACTTTTTCCGAGTCATAACTTAGTAGGTATCGGATATTAATGCAGACCTTAGATATAACTAATGTTTTTAGTTGTGGGTTCCCTTAAACACAGTGCTTATAGCTTGATGAAATTGTAACAGCATAGGTTGGTTGGTTAAGAGTTGACCCCAAACAACCAAGCATATGCCAAAACAGTATTGTTCAAGTATTCATTCACTTCCTTATTTTGTATAAGCGTTATATTCCTTATTATCTTATATTGAATGCTGAAAGCCTTTGTTTGTCTGAACAGATAATCCCACGCTCCACTGTGACTGCGCTAAGATCGAAATAAAGATTTCATTCAATTAGTGTCTGACTTCTTCTATCAATAACACGAGGGTTACCTATAGGCACGAAACTGGTGAGCCCTTTTTGAACACAAATTAACCTCATTTTTGTTATTAATATTATTTTTTTTACTCAATCGTAAAAGTAGACCTGATAATCCGTAAACTAAGTTGGGTATATAAATAGTTTATTTTTTTTATTATCTTAAGTTATTCGTGTCATAGAAACCATTTTTTTTTCGTGCTAATTTTGTTGCTATATTTGTCACATACCTCATGTCAGACTTAAAAGAAACCCATAATCTGGAGGATTTGTCACCAGTGGAGATAGACACTGTTATGACTACGAAATCTCGACTTCCAGAATTTGATCGTAGTGATCCTGAGTTGTGGTTTGCTCAACTCGAGCATTATTTCACGAGACACAATATCAAATCTGAAGGGATTCGCTATAGAGATTTGTGTTCTATCCTTCCTCCTTCAGTCGCCAAAGAAGTCCGTGACTTGATTTTAGATCCACCATCACCACAACCGTACACCGTCTTAAGACGAGAGATAATGAACCGTTTATCATTATCAGATAGTCAAAGAATCCAAAGACTTTTTCAAGGTGAAACACTAGGTGATCGGTCGCCGTCACAGTTTCTACGTCACCTCCAAGTCTTAGTGGGTGATAACACAGTGGGTGAAGCAGTCCTAAAACAAGGATGGATACAAGCTCTCCCATGCTACGTCCAACATTGTTTGGATGCACAAGATCCTGAAACCTCATTATCTCATTTAGCGCGTATAGCTGATAGAATAATGGAAAGAGGTCCTCCAACTGGATCAGGCACAATAAATCACACACAGAAAGTAGAATCAGCAAAAGACCCCGTCATAGAAGGACTCATTGCGAGTGTTAAGAGTCTCACTGAGGCTGTCACCAGAATGCAAATGGGTCATACAAACAGGAACAGGTCACCACAACGATCACGATCCAAGCCACAAAATAGGTCACAAATGTCCAGACAATCTGGGCAGTTTTGTTGGTACCACTGGAAGTTTGGTGTCAACTCAACCAAGTGCAGGCAACCATGCGCCTGGCCTAAGCATAATTCCAAGACAGCGGGAAACGAGTAACCCCTCCCCAGGTCGCGACAACTGAGGAGGGGCGCCTAAACAGTCGCTTGTTTTATGTCAGAGACAGAAACTCGGGCTTGAATTTCTTGGTGGACACTGGCGCTGCTCTTAGCATCATCCCTCGAAATAAAACTGAGATTAGTCGAGAAACATCCCCGATTACACTTCAAGCTGCAAATAAAACTACAATCGCGACATTTGGGCAGAAAACGTTAACCCTAGATTTGGGGTTCAGAAGGCAATTCCCTTGGGTTTTCACGGTAGCCGACTTAGATCTGGCAATACTGGGGATGGACTTTCTAGAGAGATAC